CCGTCCGGCTGGGCGACTTGGTTGACCATACGTCAGGGTCTCCCGGGAAGAGGCCTCGGGTTTGGGACGCTGGCGGGTACTTGGAGGCGGAGCTCGCGTTGACGTTGGTTTGTAAACGTGTCTGGAGAGTCGTGAGCTTGGAGGGCGGCTGTCGTTGAGCCCGCCGCCGCTTCACTCCCAACAGTTAGAACCTCAGCTCCTTGGCAGCTCCCAGCAGAGCGTGCCAGCATCGTGCCCTGGGCGTGGGGGAGCCGAGGTGCGGCTTGAGGGTGGGCCTGCGCTCACCCTGTGCCCGGCCTCCCTGCCCCTCTGCACCATCCCCACCGGTGACCTTCCGGCCGCCGCCTCAGTGAATACCACTTAGCAGGTGTGCGGGTAACTCCTTCAGTTCCCTACGTCTTGTCAGAGTCAGGTAGAAGGCTGGTAAAGAGCAACCCAGGGGGCAGGCAGCTAATAAGTATGGGACAGTTCGCACATTTATCTGTAGGCAGTGGTACAGAGCTCTGTTCAGTCCAGGTGGTCTGGTATAATGTGGCTTTACAAGAGAGGGACTTCAGGGTTTTACCTAATTGAAAAGTTCACTTCCTACACTTCAGGCATGTTAGATCTGGGTGCCTGGAACTTGTAGTTGGTGATCTGCACAACTTGGCCTTGTGGACTTCTGCAGCAGCTCTTTTCTCAGGCTGTCTTCGTCAACCCCTGGATTTTCCTTTCCAGCTTATGTAGCAGTCTGGAAAAAGACTGAGTGGAAGTCCTGGGCCTGGGTATGTCATGTGCTCAGTCAGACCAAGATCTCGTGCCACACTATCACCTGAGTTTTATGCACTCATGTGAGAGGCTAGAGGAGAAAGGAACGGGGAAAATGGATGTCGGTCAGGCACCACCTTGGCATAGTGACCCCCCCCCAGCCTTGAAGGTGATTCAGGTTGCTTTCTGTCAGTTTTTGTGTTAATCTATATATATTTTAATTTGTGCCACATTTGTGTTTTTTTCTGTGTGCACTCTTTCCTTTATGTGACACACCTGGGTGCTTTGTGGGAACTTGGTTGGAAGGGAGCCTGAAGCACATACACTTCTTACTATGTTTTCGTGTTTCCACTTCTCTGTGGGACTTTCTCTGTCCTTGCCCTGACTTATTTTGGTGGAGAGAATTGAGAGACAGCTGCCTGCTGTCCCAGGGGATGGAGACCATTGTCCTGAGTGAGGCAGAGGAGGGTAGTTGGGGAAACTGAGTAGTTGAATCATAAATATGACTAAAACTCATGCATCTAAAAGCAAGTACGGGGCTCAGGGGTAAAGCACTTGCGTAGTATGCACAAGGCCCTGAGCTCATCTCCACACTGCAAAAATGAATGAATGAATAAATAAAGGCAAGTCTGAGAGAGAAGTTTTTCTTGTGACTAACTTGGCGGGATCTGCTTTGTTCATTTTGTATGGCTGACCACTGTCATTAAGGGTCTGACCCAGCTACTCAGCTGAGTCTAGACAGAGTTTGTATTTGAGCTACCCAGTTAATTATTTTGTTCATGGTGGAGTGTTAATCACAGGAACGAACATTTCCATCTTGGGTGGTGGACCTGCTTGTGGATTGTCAGGTTTCTCACCAGGTGCTGGTGTGAAGTAAGCTTTCTATTCTAGGGCATCCCATTCCAGGCCTGGGAACAGCGCTGTGTGGAAGCACTCCTTTCCTAGAAGGACTCTACCCTTCTCTTGGTGCTGACACTCTTGGGGAAGGTCAAGCAATGGAGCCTGTCCTCCCCTTTGCTGATGCCTAAAAGGCCTCTACTGGGTGTGGTTTGGGCTGTGGAGGCTGATGGTGAAGGATGGGGTGGTGCATTTGTCTAGAGCAACTGGGCTTGTGAGGGGCATGTGGTGAATGAAATGAGTAGGGCCTAGGTGTATTTTCAGTCCTTCAGACTGGGCTGGGAAGCAGCCATGAGAATGGGTGGGTGTGTCAGGCTGTATCAGGAGCCTTGAGAGGTAGGAGAACTGTCTGGGCTACTTCAAGGGATTGGCAGACAGGGGAGCTGTTGGTGTTTGTCTGCTTGGCTGTGGGGAATACTGAAGGACCTTTGTAGGGAGGTGATGATCAAAAATATTGACATAAGTGCCTCAGATGGATTGAAATGGGGGAGACTAGAACCTTTGTGACTGACAGGAAGAGTAATGAGGTCCAGCATTGGGGTTAGTGTAGTAGGAACAGAAAAGAAGTGAATAAGGGTTACAAGGATTGGGGACCCCCATTGGAAGCTGGGTGGGCATTTGTGCTGAGGCCATGTCCATGGAGTAGTGCAGTGGTGCTTTGGCTGAGCCCTGCTTTTGCAGGCTCTGAGGGTACAGAGGAGCTAGCAGGTGGGGAGGCAGATACAATAGTTTGTGGTGGTGGTGCTCTGGAAAAGTCAGCCAGGCCAGGGACCAAGAGTCTGGAGACCTCTAGATAAGATGACACGTAGGCAGACCCTGAAGAGGATGAAGGAGCACGCAGCCCTCCAGGGGGAACCATACCTGCACGTCCCCAAACCTGAGTTGACTTCTGGTTTGTACTCCCTGGGAGATTAGGATGGAGATCACTGGTTGTTATTGATGTCCTCTGGTGTCTGGGTTATTAAAGTCTTTGACCTGTGAGCACTTAGGAGAGATGACTTGGGGACACAGTGGCAGTTTTTGTTAGTGGCAGGAGGAGGAGGAGGGGGCGAGTCTGAGCAGTGTAACGAGGTATAGCCATGGCTCTCTGACTGCCCTCCTCCAACCTTTCCTAGTCTATCCGTGCGCATCTCCTGCTTCTTCCTGTCCTCTTCATCCGGTGTATCCCCATGTATCCCCTCTGTCATATTTGAGCCAGTGGTTACCATACTTTATTTTTAGCTGAAAAAAAATTTTTTATCTTAATTTATGAGAAACTCCAGTGTAGAAAAGAGAATGAATAAGAGCTGTTCTGATGTCTATGTCAGTAGGGAGCCTTGTATACCTCATTGCTGCCCTCTCCTCACCTCAGGAGCATGACTGAGGGGTTCCAGGGTCCATGATCCACTCTGTTGTGTTGTGGCCTCGTTCCCCACGCACAAAGGTGCCATCCTGTATGTTCCATGCTCCAGAGTGACATTTCCCACAGAAGACCCAATCTGCTTAAGGCTGGGATCTAAAACCCTTCTGGGGTTCTGCTTGGCAGCCTGGCCCACCTGTCCTCGCCTTGCCTCACCAGCTAGTCTTGTCCCCCAATGTTTTGCTGTGCTTAGGTATCCAACACAATGATCAGTGCAGTCCCCTAGGCATGCCTTCCCGCTTACACAGTGAGTGCTTCAGAGTCTTTTCAAAGTCCTCGTCTCATGAACCTCAGAGCTTCTCTTTTCCTGTCTCTTATGACCAGTGGTAAATGTTAGATCTTTGGACTGACAGGCTTATAGGGTGGGAGTTTGGGGCTGGTCTGTGATGCTTGCCAGTTTTCCTTGATATGAATACTCTCCATTATTGAGGCCTTGCTGAGAAGAGTTGGAAGATGTGCCTGGCTACTCTTTGGAGCTAGTCCAGGCTGGCTTCACCACATTTACCTACAACCTGTTAAGTGAGTTGTCTTTACTCACATAAGTTCTTAGAGGACAGGCGTGAGCCTTCATGGCTCTCCTTGTCTTTTGCATCTGTTGGGTGCTCAGTAGTACATGTTGGAGAACAGACGGAAAGAGAATGAGGGTTAGGGGCCCAGAAGGATGACCCACTGTGTAAAAGAATACAAGGTGCATGACTGCTGAAGCGCCTGAAGGTGGGGAGAGCCAGCGTGTATCTCTTCTCTCTGTAAACAGGAGTGCTTTTTTTAATAGATGAGCAGCAGCAGCAGCAAGAGAGCCCCAACGACAGCAACCCAAAGACTGAAGCAGGACTACCTTCGGATCAAGAAAGACCCGGTGCCTTACATCTGCGCCGAGCCCCTCCCTTCCAATATTCTCGAATGGTAAGACTGTGTGTGTCACCCCTGTGCCCTGCTGCTCCACACGGGCTCTCCACTAGCCCAACTAGAGGGCCTGGTGCTCCTGGGCATGGCTGGGGAGAGGCACTGCTGCACCCTTAGCTGTAGTGGACACCAAGAGACCTGAGGACACTCTCTGGTCTTCTTCCCAGCTGGTGGCATGCCAGGGATACTACAGGGTCCTGCTTGGCTTAGGCCGGAGCTAGAAAGCTGTCCCAGGGCAGGCTTCAGGTGTGCAGGATGCCTGATGATCATGTGTACCTACAGGCAGCGCTTGGAGGAGAGCCTGTATTTCTAGACTCTCCTGTACTTTGCTTTTGAATTTACTTGGGAGTATTTGTGACAGGGTCCTGACACTCCAGGTGCCCCTGATCTTTGGACTTATAGAGGGCCTGTGGAAAGCATCCATTCCACCATACCACCCCCCCTCTTTTTTTTTAAATAAACTTAAAAAAAAATATTTTTTAGTTGTAGTTGGACACAATATCTTTATTTTTATTTATTTTTATGTGGTGCTGAGGATTGAACCCAGGGCCTTTCACGTGCTAGGTGAGTGCCCTACCGCTGAGCAACAACCCCAGCCCCCACCATTACCTCTTTGGCCGAATTAAAAGGAACTACACACCTCTACTGAAATGTCATGGCTAGCTCAGCTGGCAATTTTATGAGACGTGAAATATAAGGCTGAGGTGTTAGAAAGCACTTTCTCTTTGTTTGGATCTTTTGTTTTGATCTTCAAAAAATACTTTTTAAAAAATCTGAAGCAAAAAGATTTTAACTGAGTTACAAAGAAGCATTATGCAGGTTGTACAGGATCCCCTCCCAGGATCACCGAGGAGGCCTAGCACTGGCAGGTGGGGCTCCTGCTGGGGAGGTCAAGCCCCTCATCATGGGGGGCTTCCAGTGGCAGTGTAGTACTCCTCTGCTCCCAGGACATAGCTAGCAGATATGGGGGCTGTTCCATGGTGGCTTACCTCTTCCCTGATTCATGGGAACATCCTTATTGTGTCAGAATCCTTCCCCACACGAATCTATGGGTCAGGGATTCCCAGGACCACCTAGATTTTTTTGATGTGCTAGGAGGACTCATCATTTAGATTTTTTTTTTTTTTTTAAAGATAGGAGAGAGAGAGAGAATTTTTTTTAATATTTATTTTTTAGTTTTTGGCGGACACAACATCTTTTGTTTGTATGTGGTGCTGAGGATCGAACCTGGGCTGCACGCATGCCAGGCGAGCGCGCTACCGCTTGAGCCACATCCCCAGCCCATCATTTAGATTTATTACAGTGAAAAGATGGCAGAATCAGCAGAGGGAAGAGGTGGGTAGGAAGAGCATGGCAGCTAGGTCCCTTTCCTGGGTGTGCATACAGGATGCCCTGAACTCCTGGCAATGAGATATGGAATGTCAACCAGGGAGACTCCTCAGAGATGCAGCACCCAGGCTTTCATTGGGTGGTGGTCACATAGGCACCCTCTGCCTGGTACCCACTCAAATTCCAGATTCCTAGGAGGAGAGCAGGATTCAGTGTGAACTATACCATCTATGCCCATGTTGTCAGTTGGGGTGGTGGGAACCGCCCAGGACGGGTGGCTCAAGCCTGCTGTGAGAGCTTCGTATGGCACCATGGGCGTCTCTCCTGTTGCTGAGAGAAGAATTATTGGGCTTTTCCTGACAAGGATTATGATGAGGGGTTTAGGGCTGTGGCTCAGCGATAGTGTGTTCGCCTAGTACATATGAGGCACTGAGTTCGATCCTCTGCACCACATAAAAATAAATAAAAAGGTATTGTGTCCAACTACAACTAGGGGGAAAAAAAAAAGGATTACAATGAGCTGAAGCCTGTAGGTCCTGCCCTCTAAGCATAGTAGACTGCTGGCTCCAAGGAGAGATGTGCTCATCAGCACTTCCTGGTTTTCTCAGATTGGCACAGTGCCTGGGAGCAGTACTAATTAGGCCATGTTTCTGGTGCACTGTGTCCTTAGCTTTAAGCCCTTTGATTGGTCCCTAGTCCCCTGGCATACATAAGGTGACAGTCGGCCCTGTGTGTCCGCAGGTTCTATATTCATGGGTTTAGCCAACAAATAAAGTTTGAAAATATTCAGATGATAAAAGTTGTGTCTGTATTGAATGTGTACAGACTTTTTTCCTAAACAGTACAGTATAACAGCCATTCTCAAGGCACTTGCAGTGTTTTAGACATTGTAAGAACTCTAGAGATGATCTGAAGTGTTTATGGGGGGAGGTATGTGTTGGTTCTGTGCAAGTACTTTACCATCTTATAGGAGGCGCTTGAGCAGCTGTTGTGGGCTTTGATGTCCCCCCACATGGGGGATTACGTCCTGGAACCTTGCATACAAGAAACCACTGTAAATCTTAGCAGCTAGCCCAGGTCGAGTGGCCTCATTGCTGTTGATGCCACGTGCTCGTGTCCTGGTGGGAGAGGTATCTGGAGTCCCAAGTGTCAGCAGGTGCTGGCTGCTGGTCGCTTTCACCTGCTTCATGATTTTCTGGTTGGTTGTTTTGTGTGAGAACTGGTAAAGCCCAGACACCTTGCTGCCTTTCTAAAGCCATCATCTGTTTTATTTGCATGGGAGAATGTAGTCTCTTCACTGGCACTTCTGGTTTGGGTTGAACTCTGTGTGAGTACCGTGGCTTTGGGGCAGTCAATCACGAGTTGTCCCTCTTGCTCAAGAAAGTTGTGCTGAGATAGTTTCCTTTTCTTTAAGATCATCCATGTCAGGTGGGCAACACAGAAAGCTAGTCTCACATCACCAGCTGTGCCCTGTCTAGACTGTGTGGTTGATATAAAAAATGTAAATTCTATATTTCTGTTTCTGTTTTTAAATAACTGAATCCTTTAATGGCAGTAATACAATTATTGGATTATCAAGTACATTGGACCCAATACTTTTATTTTATTTACTTTTATATGGTGCAGAGGTTCTAACCCAGGGCCTCGTACGTGCTAGGCGAGCACTCTATCATTGAGCCACAACCTCAGTCCCTCAAGTACGTTTTAATGTATTATAAGATTAAATTTTTAAAATCTTCAGTTGATTATAGTTCGCTAACTCCTTGTCTGTTGCCTGATGGAAGCAGAAATGCTTCAGGGAACTTGGAACATGCAGCCTCTGCTGTGCACAGTAGCCATGCCTGTGATGCCAGTCACTCAGGAGGCTGAGGCAGGAGGAGTGCAAGGTCAAGGCCATCCGTAGCAACTTAGACATTATCTCAAGTCAGGGCTGGGGAGGTAGCTCAGTGGTAGAGTGTCCCTGGGTGCTCCTTGGGTTCAGTTCCCAGTTCTGTGGAAGAAACAATCGTGCAGCCTCTGAGCTCCTGCTGCAAAGTGTCTGAAGTGCCTGCAGCACAAGTGGCTGAGGACCTGGAGCTGTGGGACACAATATCTTTATTTATTTATTTTTATGTGGTGCTGAGGATCGAACCCAGTGCCTCACACGTGTTAGGCATGAGCTCTACCACTGAGCTACAGCTCCAGCCCAGACCCAAGTAACTTTCTCCTCTTTTCCAGGCACTATGTTGTCCGCGGCCCTGAGATGACCCCTTACGAAGGTGAGTGAGTGTTTTTTGAATGGACCTGCCTGTTGAACATCGATTTCTGTAGAGGATAGTCCTTCTAATTTGTATGTATAGTGGTTAAAGTGCACCTACTTGGAACGTGTCCTGGTATTCCTCCAAGCCCTAGAAGTGTGCGTGCAGTTTGGTTTTGCTGGTGTGTCTAAGTCTCCAGGGACTGACTGTTAGCATTCATGTTCTACCAGCCTCTAGCACAGTTGGAGGTGCGAAAACCAGGTTGGGATAAACAGTAAAACGTGACCATATTTTTATGTTTCTAAGGCCAGGGGCAGTATCTTCAAAGAGGCCTAGTCTGCTAGGCATTTTCAGTGTGATCTTCAGAACAATCTCTGAGCTAAATGGGGCCCCCTCTTGTGGCTTCAGGAGGACATAGGACCTGCCTGACTCCTTAGCTCTCCTAACTGCTACCAGGCCTCACCCAGTGGCCTGACCCCTTAGGTTACCAGATACCATTTAGGGTCCTTGGTTGTTCACAAAGAAGTCAGGAGCTGTCAGCCAGCAAGTCTCTGGGAGCCTGTGGGGAGAATTGTGGCAGCCTTGGGTTTGGACCAGGTCTCTGCAGGCATACCCAGGGCAGAATACTGCTCAAGGTGGGCATTTCCTTGGCTTCTCAGCCATGAGGCTGACTCTATATGACCAGAGTAGTAGGCTTTTGTCTGCCCACACATGGAGGTTTTGCATAAGACTCCAAGAGTAGAGAGGAATTGGAGAAGCACTGCTATGGCTGGCTATGGTTCAGCAGTGTGGCCCTCATTTGGATCCTAGCACCAAAAGAAGAAAGAAAAAACTGCTGCTTTGGATGGTCAAGGGAGAGCTGTGGGTAGCTAAGAATTGAAAGACAACTCTCAAAGGTGGTTTGGCTGATGTTTTGCTGGCCTTACAGTGGATTCCCTTTGGCCCAGGAGTACCGTTCTAAGATTACAGGGAAGCACATCTAGAGTGGCGTTCCTACAGGGTGGGCATGTTGTGACAAGGCTGTGTACAGTGGCATGAGCTGGAGGATGTGGCCCATGTGTTTGAGAAGTCCCCTCAAGAGTCCCTAGAGATGTGGTGAAAGGCTTAAAAAGAGTTGGTCCAGATAAAATGGAAATACTTAGGGAGTACATGTGTATTGCTAACAAACTTGAAGAACATATACCAAAAATGAATGAGCAGTGGGTAACTCAAGCAAGTGGATTATGCTGGTCTGTAAGTTATTTTAATCCTTTTTCTTTTCATATTTTCCAAATAAATAGTAAACATTTATTAATTTTGTAACAAATCCCACACCCTCCACAGGACCAGCCAAGGTTGTCTCTGGTGAGGACCGGGGCTTGAGAAGAGGGTGTTTAGGGTGGGGCCTTGGGGGCAGCCAGATCCCTGCCTGCCCTAACCTGTCAATTGTGCTTCCATATTTTTGTATGGCCCTGCCCAATTCTGGGGTCCTTCACTCCAGTCTTCCTAGTCCCTTGTCCCTGTTCAGCTCTCTGTGGGGCTGTTCCCAGGCTGTCAGTGTGTTAAGCCCTTTTGGCAGTTGCAACCTCATCCTCTGCTGACACCAGTCTCACAGGGTCTTGAAGGAGCCCCTCTGAGGTGCCACAGCCAGGGGCTGTGCTGGTATCTGACACCATTGACTGGTTCCTTCCTGGCACTATGAGCTCTAACTTCCTGATATTCTGGCCTACCCTGCCTGCCCAGGGGCTCCTCTGTGGCGGTCCTGTTCCTGGCGCTTTCAGGCACACCCGTGCTGCCAGTCCTGTGGAAGTGTTGCTAAAGAATTTTCACTAAATAATCTGGAATTCACACAATCCTGTCAGAGTCCCAACAGAGTTTTAGATAGACTTATCATAAAATTTACATGAAAAGGCAAAGGACCTAGAGTTGCTAAAAGTCACATTTTAAAAGCACGGTCAAGTGGAAGAGCCACAGGTCTGCAGACCTGTTCTGCTGCTCCAGCAATGATGACCAGGTGCCCAGATGGGAGAGACAGCGTGGAGCCAAGTGGGGAGCCAGAGCAGTGCTGCACTGCCTGGCCAATGGGTGTTGATGCAGGTGTGGAGTCGGCACTGTGGGGGCTTCTGGACAACCCTGTGTGGGTCTGTTTCCCCAGGGCTTGGCCAAGCTTCACTGTGGCCCACTCCTAATGGACCTTGGGGAAGCTTGTTCCTTGTGCTTCTGCAGAGCAGGCTAGGGTGGTGGAGGAGCTCTTATAGACTCTAGTTATGTCCTTGAAGGAGCTGCACTTTGATCTCTGAAGGAGGATCTGGCTTCTTTGGATAGTTTGATGAAAGTGCCCTTCTGGTACCTCCTCATACTTCCAGAATGAAATCTCCTGGGGCTCCTGCAAATGCTAATAACCCCACTGTCAGTTTAATCTTCCGCAGTTTAAAATACATGTTTTTGTACACAGAGAAATGCATACTTCTGTTTTTTTTTTTTTTTTTTTCTTCATGGTGAGGAGCTTGGTGTGTATGCTGTTCTGTGGCTTGCTGTTCAGTTTGCACTAGTTCACATCTCATACAGGTTCCTGCTCTGCTTGGTTCTTGCCCAGTGTTCGTTCACCTGACCCTTCTCTTGAAAGGCAGGTGGGTGCTGCCCACTTTTCACTTCTGCAGACAAGTGCTGATGTGTGTGGTTCTCTTGCCCTTAGTACATAACAAAGCAGGACCACCAGCCAGTGGAAGTCTGTGTGCACAGCAAGACGGGAAGGTGCCTATCTCTACCACCCTCTTTAAGCTAAAAATGGCCCTCTTCCTTGCTGTCTCAGTCACATGGTTCCTGATCAGCCCTGAGCTGAGGGAGTTTCACATACATGTTGGCTGCTCCTCCCTTCTCTTTGGAAAAGTGCCTGTTGAAAGCTTGCTCATTTCCTGATTGAGCTTCTCTTGTTGCACGTGTGTGCTCTGATCTCCAGTTTGGTGAGCTTGCCTCACAGATGACCCTTGCCCATGTTGTCCCTGCACTGTTGGCTCCACAACTGTTCCCTTGTCCTTGAATGCTGGCCCCAGGGCGGTGCCCAGAGAGGAAGTCACTACATCCCATGCTCAGGCACTTGTCACTTTGTGGAGTGGCAAAGAGTCAAGAAGTACAGCTCACATCTTGGGTGGGGCATTGCACCCTACTCAGCATGGCATTGGAGCACAGGAGACCTGTGGCTATTTGGGGACAAGGGTGTCCAGGGTTGTTGAGGTAGGACTATGCTCTGGGCAGCAGGGAGTTTGGGAGAGGGGAAAGAGCCCAGTACTTCTCAAGCCTGATGGTCACACACACCCCTGCGTGTGTTGTCAGGGAGTCCTGTCCAGTGCACATTCTGCTCAGGCGTCTCCAGCCAACTCCTGAATGCAGCAGGGAAGAGGGGTATGAGGCCTGGAGTGACGGGGCTGGGGTTGCCCTGAGGTCATGGTGAAGGGTCACAGGCAGGGGATGCAGAGCTTGTCTGGCATGTTGGGCTCTGGATTGATTGAAGGGGGGCACCTTGCTTATAGAGTGGATGCAATATTAGGGGCACAGTGGGGTCCTAGATTTTAGTCAGAATAGCTGATGGGATGTAGTAGATAGACATTTGGGGGAAATGTTTTCTATCTTGGATGTGTACATTTGGGGCAGTGTGGTGTAGATGGTCATTACCATTCTGGAGCTTGGGGAGGGAGGGAGTCCCTGGGTCCAGGGTTGAGAGCTACTGGGGAGCCATCAAGGGAGTCATAAGGGGCAGCCACATGTGGGAGGAACTAAGCCTTGTAGGGCTTCAAGGACACAGAGTCCGTAGTGATCCCTGTTAAGACCATGCTGCTGAAGTGGTGAGATGCCATGGGGACCTGTGGGTAGGCTTGAGGTCAGGCTTGGTGCACCATGGTGAGGGCCAAAGCATGGAGGCAGAGGGTTTGGTGAAAAACATTGCAGATGGGTCTCCAGGGGCTTACATGAGAGTGAGGGAACAGTTGGCAGAAATTGGAGGAGGGTGGGCTCAGGTGTTTTTCTTTGTCACCCCCACTCCCCTCAGTACTTGATTGAACCAGGCTTTCTTTCTTTTTTGGCGTGCGGGGCGGGATGGGTACTGGGGATTGAACCCAGAGGCACTTAACCACTGAGCCATATCCCCAGCCCTTTTTTATATTTTATTTAGAGACAGGGCTCTATGATTTGCTTAGGACCTTGCTAAGTTGCTGAGGCTGGCCTTGAACTTGAGATCCTGCCTCAGCCTCCCAGGCTGCTGGGATTACAGGTGTGCGCCGTCAACCAGATTTTCATGCATGCTGGGCTTTGCCACTGAGATCCATTCCCAGACCCCAACCTTTTTTTTTTTATATATATATATATATATGTCCATTTCTGACCTGGGTCTGCTTGCTTCTCAGACAACCTGATGGTCCTCTGCTCCCATGAGGCACCATATTGGTGCTGAATTTATCTTGGATACCTGATTAACACATTGTACTGCAGCCCAGAACTCCTGGGCTCAAGCAGTCCTGCCTCAGCCTCCTGAGTAGCTGGGACAAATGTGTACCACTGTGCCAGGCTCCACCCCTTTTAACAAAATCTTAAGATGGGATCTTATTAAGTTACCCAGGCTGGCTTCTAACTCTTGATTCTCCTATCTCAGCCTCTCAAGTAGCTGGGATTACAAGTTTAGGCCACCACACTCAGTTCAAGTGTACTTTTCTTTAGGAAGGGTTTGCTAACCTCTGAATGGTTGGGCTGGAAGAAATGGGCACTGTAAGAGCCGGAGAGTTGCTGGATTGGGACCTGGAATAGGGGAGGATTGAGCTGTGTGCAGCTCCTGAGGCACTGCAGGCTGGCAGACACCTGCATGTTCTCTTCTATCTACTCTGCTCTCAGGGGAACATGGATGGTCCCAGGAGAGGAGAGGTGTGCCATAGCCATAGTGGGGCTCACAGTGGTCATGAGTTCCCAGGGAGTGTTCTGGAGATGGGGAATGGGGTGAGGTGCTCGGTCAGACTGATAAGGTGCTAGGGGAGCCTGGGCACTGGAGAATGCCAGTGGTGCTGAAGCTGTGAGCCAGGACGGGGACAGGGCAGTGGCGACTGCGTGTGGTGGAAATCAATGGAGAGGGACTGGGGCTAGATCTCCTTGTGCTTGGTGATGACAGGGCTCTTTCCTTTCTGTTTCAATACAGGTGGCTATTATCATGGAAAGCTAATTTTTCCCAGAGAATTTCCTTTTAAGCCTCCTAGTATTTACATGATAACTCCCAATGGAAGGTTTAAGTGCAACACGAGGTAAGCTTCCAGGGGGCAGTGTTTGAGCCATGGCTGACAGGGAGTGCACTTCTGCTCATAGAGCACCTTTCTTGCAGGCTGTGTCTCTCTATCACGGATTTCCACCCAGACACGTGGAACCCAGCGTGGTCTGTCTCCACCATCCTGACCGGGCTCCTGAGCTTCATGGTGGAGAAGGGCCCCACCCTGGGCAGTATAGAGACCTCGGACTTCACGGTGAGGTGTAGCAGCGCCTCACTCCAGGCCTCTGGTGGCACCTTGGCCTTCCCTCTTGTCTATGGTTATTTGTGTTCCTCAGATGCACAGCCACTTTTTCGTCAGCAGGTGGAAGCTATGCGCGGTTCTATGGTGTCCTCATTCCTGGCCACTTCGTGGAACTGCTCTGCTCTGTGCTTGCTGATGGAGTCTCTTGGCCTTAAGCAATTGAGCATCACTATGGCTCCAGCTCTTCTTAGAGGGTCTGGGGGACTCCGGACTGGGAGTACACTGTGTGTTCATTATTAGCTTGCATTTCCATTTTTAAAACGGGAGTCAAGTTTAATGTTATTAATTATAATGAGAAGACACACAAATCTTTGTAAGACCTTGACTCGGGAGAGCAGACTCTTAGGCACTTTCTCCAGCAAGAAGAGCAGCCCTTGGGTAGAGTGCTTCCCTCGCATGCACACAGCCCTGGGTCCAATTAAAAAAAAAAAAAAAAAAAAGGCAGCCCTTAACTCTAGAACGGTCTGTTTTTAGAATTTTGAAAGAATTAAAATTAGCTTTCTGAGTGACATTTTCCTTCTTTCTCTTCCTAGAAAAGACAACTGGCTGTACAGAGTCTAGTGTTTAATTTAAAAGATAAAGTCTTTTGTGAATTGTTCCCTGAAGTTGTGGAGGTAAGAAAGTGAAAGCTGAGCTCAGTTTTGTCTTTCCTTTTGTAAAAGCATTTTCAAATTCGAGTCTTCCAAAGAGAAGATATGTGTTCCTGCAGATGTCACAGGTGTCACACAGGCTCAAAAGGTCAACTGCTGGACATGCCTCCAGACACATACCCTGGGGACACAGGGTTAGGCCCCCTCCAGGATCTTCAAGGCAGGAGAGGCAGAAGAAGCCCAGAGAGGAATGGGTGGGGGTGGTGTTGGGTCTGGGCTTGCTAGTCAGAGTGGCTACCCCCAGGAGGGCCAGGAGTGGTGAGGAGGCTCATCTGTTGCTTATTGCTTTGAAGGCTGAGCCTCCTCTGCCATGTGGGGCTGGGTGCTCTCTGGTTGTGGCATTGCAGCAGAGAATGTGGCAGTAAACAGAGGTAGCTTGCTGCCTGGTGGTTGAGGCCTTGGTATCTCTAACCTGGCTGAGGCACAAGGTAGTGATTTTGGCAGCCTGCTTGGTCCCCTCACCTGTAAAATGGGACCAGGAGCCATACCCACCTCAGGGTGTCAGGATTTGGCCATAGAATGGAGTCCTTCATTCTCAGTGACGGCCCTGGGCTCCTTGGAATTGAAGAACTGGTTTGTTCAGACCAGCCATGGTTTCCTGTGTTTCTCTCTTAGGAAATTAAACAAAAACAGAAAGCACAAGATGAACTCAGTAGCAGGCCACAGACTCTGCCCTTGCCAGATGTGGTTCCTGATGGGGAGATGCACCATGGCCAGAATGGGGTCCAGCTTCTCAATGGGCATGCACCGGGGGCCGGGCCCCACCTTGCAGGGCTCCAGCAGGCCAACCGGCACCATGGACTCCTGGGCGGTGCCCTGGCGAACTTGTTTGTCATAGTGGGTTTTGCAGCCTTTGCCTACACGGTCAAGTACGTGCTGAGGAGCATCGCACAGGAATGAGAGGCACCAGAGCCAGGACCCTGTTGCTGCAGATGCAAGTGCCAGAGCTCAACACAGGCGGGCTGGACATGCTGCTGATCCAGGGCGGGCCCGCCGGACTCCTGGGTTTCTCTTTTTAAAAACCTTAAAAGGAAAGCAAAAACCAAAATGTGTGATTTGGAGGAGACACGAGATCCTCAGCTCCCTCTGCTCACCTGGTGTGGTGTGTGTCGGGGCCAGTGTCTACAAGGGCCGCTCACGTTTGGTTTTATAGCTTATCTCCTGTATTGTCTTTTGGACCTGTTTAGTAAACCTGTTTTTCATTTTATTAGATTTGGTCACTTAAAAATATAAAACTCAATGCCTATCAAACACTCTGCGTGTGTTCTTGGCAGAGCTCTGGACTCTTCAGCAGGAAAGGGCTGGAGCTGGGGTAGGGCCTGCATTGTGGCACCATCCCAAGTGGTAGAGCCAGTCGGCGGGCCAGCGACAGCATGGACAGGGACCCAGGAGAGAGGAGATTTGACTCATCATAAAAACATATTTATGGTCAGTTGGAGTGAATCAAATTTCTTCTGGAAAGTGCTCCTTCATTTTTCTGTCCAGGTAGAAGAGTTTGCTTGCTCTGTGGCCACTAGGTGTCACCCTTTACTTGGAGCAGCCTCTGAAAATGGCAGGCAGCTAGCTTGTGGCCCGCCTAGTTGGACCACCAGCTTCTCTGGGTGCTGTGGGGCGGGAGGGTGGTTGCTGGGTGTCTGCAGAATCTTTTCTCTGAATTTCTCGTGTCCAGTTGGCAGAAACTTGTCTTACTGAGCCACTAGGTGGAGACCCTTGGTCCCAGGGTGGGTTCTGTGCACTGTTGGACTCTTCCACTTGGTCCAAGTACTTTCTTTCACCTTAGAGGTAGGCTGTACTGTCTTTACTAGTTGAGCACATCATTGGCTCTTCTGGGTCACATAAAGGAAGCTGCCCTTGGAGGACACGTGGATTCACTGTCAAAGCTGGCATGGTCTCCGTGTTGGGACCTGTGTCGCCTGAAGGGGCCCATGCCTTCCCTTTTCAACATTTGTGTCTAATGACTGCAGCTGCACTCAGTGTTTTGAAGATGCATCACACTGGGAAAACTGACATCTGTGGGGCACTGACGGAGCCAGTGGTGCTGTTCAGTGGCGGATGTGGCCTCCCATCCATCAGTCACCACTGGGTCCCCACTGAGGCCCACAAACCAGACTCATCCCAGAGACAAGTGGCAGAGCTGCAAGCACAGCCTGCATGCTCGACTCTGGCTTTGTTTGTGGTCGGTGGATTTAAAATTGCTCTGTATTTCACCGCTTGTGTGTGTCTGACCCACCTCTTTGGGGAAAAAATCTTTCATTATGCTTCTGTTCCTGAATTTCATGCTGTCTTCATCTGTGTTGGTGGAGACTCCTGTCCTTGCTGAGTGGCTCAGGCCTACACGTGGGGTCTTTGGGGTCACACCTGCCTGGCCTGGGGACAGTGAGTGTTGCCACCTGAGGGTGAGTCTTGGAGGCAATGTGGTGCTGCTGAGACCCTGGCCCACCTGGCCTGGACCCTGGCCAGGAGCTATCTGTGCATGGCCACAGTGGGTGGAGCATACTTCCTCCTTTGCTGAGAGCCAGCCAACACTTGGTCCATGGCCTCCTTTAAGGGCACTTCTATAACCACTGGCGTCCATTCCAAATCCTTGATGTTTCCTGGGGCTGTTGGGAGGCTGAATGTAACCAGATTTAGAGTTTACCCAACACCTTATTTACTGTATGTGAAATCTCAACTTTTAACAGCCCTTAGTGGTGGAGACAGACCCTGTGGTGCCCATGGCTTGTTGCCTGCATTGGCTTCAATAAAAGATGACCTTTGTCCTGTTGGACCAAGTGTGTCTCCCTTCTTTCGTGTTGCCCTTTCTGGAAGGAGTCTGGGTGCCCTTGACTATCCCCCACCGCTCTCAAGGAAGACCTTCCTTGTGCAGAAGGAAGAAGAGTCCCTCACAGAGCTTACTATCCATGGACACTGGAAGCAGCACTCCAGTGGCCTCCTACTGTTCCCCTGGGAAAATTCTCCAGCCTTTGGGGATTTCATCACAGAGCTCAGACTGTGAGAGGGAGCATCCTCCCTCTGCATCCAGCTGGTGGGCAGCCAGCAGGGAGCCCTGTGTTTCTCTAGGGCTTGGGGAGCCTGGGTTTGAGGCTGAGCCCCTTTCCTAGGGCAGCCTGAAGTTGGAGCCCAGATCTGTGGCGCATGGAGTCCAGAACCAGTGCAGTGACAGCAGGGAGTGGGTTATAGTGCATGTGATCCCCTGAAGGAGGGAGGATCCTTTTGGTGTCTTGAGGTGATTTTGAAGGAGGGGATGCTGAAGCCAGAGAGCTGGTGACTTGTATGGGGCCTGTCCCTGAGTTCTGGGCTCCTGGGAGTGGAGTCTGCCCTAGTACCTCACTGCTACAGGCCTATATCTGGCCACCCACCCTTTCCCCTCTGCCATGGGGAACCTCTGTGAGACAGAGCTGGGATTCACTGCCAGTGCACTCTGCTTTCACGCAAAAGGTGAGTCCCGTAGGAGGTAGGTGGCCCAGAAGAGCAGGGTCTGACCTGTGGAGAGGTCTGGCAGCCCTGGGTGGGGACTCCAGAATTGAGGATTTGCCAACTCCACACCTGGGTCCTGAGCATGCTGGGTGCAAAGCACATCTAGGGGCCATGTGCTGGGATTCCAGGGTGGGGCTGTACTGAACCCACCCCCACCATCATGGCCACTATTCACCAGTGGACAGGAGGGCTGATGTTGCTTCCTGAAGGGTGGAGGCCTTAGCATTGTACTTGGGAGATGCCAGATTGGCCTCTGCTGTCCCTGAAGGTCGCCCTTCTGTCTGAGAGCAGGAGGGTGAGAGTGTGCACTTCCCTGACACCTCCCTACCTAGCTCTGCAAGGGGTGGGGGCTGTGAGGCTGGGTCTCCTGTCTTGTCCACCTTCACCTTCTCTGGGTCAGTAAGTTAGGGAGGTTGGAGTGTCCTGTGCTAGGCAGGGACCAGGACCAAGACCAGGACCTCTAGGGCCAGGGTGGAGCCACTGTTCCTGGTGGACCAGCCTCACAGGTCCCCCTCACTGACTGAACCCAAAGGGCCTGTGGGCGTGGTCTGGCCCCAGAGACCTGCTGCCACAGCCTGGAGGTGGTCAGAAAGGACCCCTCTCCCCCACAAGCCTGGTGGAAGGAAATCTTGCTGGCCAGAGGTCTTTGGAGGGAAGGACTCACCCTTGTGCTGAACTCTCTGCTCATGCTTTGCACCCAGTGGGCAAGCAGTAAGGGTCAGGCCTACATCCACAAAGGATGTGGGGCTGAGCAACTGGGACCTCCAGCCTCTGTACTCCTGCCCTGAGGCCAGTGGGTCCCTCCCTGTGGGCCTATCCCCACTGGAGGAGGGTCCCTATACTGGGAATGTCTGGGGGGAGGGAAAGTCCCACCAGCCAGTTATTCCCTTAGTTCCAGGGGCGGGGGGTGTGGGGTGGTGGGTGGGGGTGTGGTGGGGTGGGGAGCTGTGTCTGGAGCTCCTCCAGGACCTGAGTAAGGGGCTGGGGTTCTGTACCCAAGGTCACTCTTGACCTGGCCCTGAGGGGTGGGTGTGAGAGATGCCAGAGGTTAGTGTGAACAACCTCCCCTCCTTAGCTGGGATGGAGACCCTCCCGAGGAGGGATGAGGGGCAGGCTGGGGCTATTTCCAAAGGACTAGACAGCCTGAGAGGCAAGGCCCAAAGCCTCAATAGCCCCCAGCTCCTTAGGAGGGCAGGAGTCCACGGTCAGTTTGGGTCCCGCCCCCTGCACCGCCCCGCCCCGCCCCATCCCACCCCGCCGTCGGGGCGCTGGGGCGCCGGGCAAACTGTTTCAACGTGAGCCCTCCCCTTGGAGCCCAGAGGCCCAGAGGCTGGGGGAGAGGAGCCCGTCTGGGAGGGCCCCGCACGACGCAAGGCGAGTTGGCGTCGGCCTCAAGTGGACACGCTGCTGTTGTGCCCCCGCTCTTGCGCGCCCCGCAGACATGCACCGGCGGCGGCCGGGCGCGCCCCGGGGCCTCGCCCCCGCGCGGGGACTCTGAGTGCCGCCGCCCCCGTGAGAGCTCCTGGCCGCTGGGGTTCGCAGCACTGCTGCCGCCCACATCCAGCCATGCGGCGCTGGGCCTGGGCCGCAGTCCTGGCCCTCCTCTGGCCACAGCTCGCCTTGCTCTGGGGAGTCGGGGCATGGCGGGAGCCCAAGAGGCTGCGGCAGCCTGGCCAGCGCACAGAGGCCCCCAACGCCACAGCTTCTGACAGTGAAGGTCTGCCTGGCTCTCCCAAGGTAGGCACAGGCTGGGCACACGTGGGCCCCGGGCACAGGTGCACAGGGGCGCTTTGGGACTGAGGTCATCGGATGCCCTCCCAGGCTCTGCCACAGAGGTCCTTTGGTGGGGTCTGCCACAGCCCCGACTGGGGCCCCCTCAATCCCCACAGGCCCGGAGAGGGGTTGGGGAAGAGAGGCACTCACCAAGAGCCCAGGTGAGGGAGGACTGGGGGGAGATACAATTAACTCTTTGCAGCCACAGGCCCTGGACTTTGGGCAACCTGCTGCCATTAGTTGTAATTGCTAATTCAGGCAGGGGTGGGGGTAGAGAGCATGGCGCCCCACAGCCTCTAAGGTTGGAGACTCCAGATCCCTGAGCTTCCTGTGGATTCTGTGTGGTCAGCATCCACCTGCAAAATGCCCTGTCCTGGGATGTCCCTGGAGAAGGAGACCCTGGCACTGGCAGAGGGTCTCAGTTGCACAAACCTCAGGTGATGCTGCCATTAGTGGCAGTTATCTGCTTGCTCAGGGCTGTTCCTCTAGGGAAAGGGCAGGGGGCAGTCTGGGAACTGATCAGTAGGAAGGACCTCTGTGGGACAGCTACCCAAATGTCCTTACTCGTCCTGGTGGAGGTGGGCTTGTTCACTGCCTACTCCCTGCAGCATCTGCCCTTGTGGCTCAGTGCTGAGGCCCCGGGACCACTGACCCATACAAGGCATTAAGGGGACAAGCAGATTCTGGATGTTTCAGGATTAGGGGTGCATTCTCTCCCTGGGTGGGTAATCTCATCCTGCCTGCTTCTCCAAATCCCCCAGGATGGAGTCCTCTGATCTACCGGAAGGGACACCAGTTAGCAGACAGGACCTGCTTTGGTTGGGTTGGGTCTAGGTCCACATCAGGACTGGACCCTGCCTTGGGTCAGGACCCCTTGGCCCACTCGCCTGGTTTGGTGGCAGCTCCCCTGGAGTGGCCAGGCCAATAGTGCCATGCTTCTGTCCATGTCATGTACTCTTGCTGGTCTCACCCATCGTCCCCGAGACAGGACTCGTTCTCACTGGCCATCCTCTCTCTAGTCCACAGTCTTCTCTTTGACACCCCCCCACCTCCCCACACACACACATACCATGTCCAGGACCAGGCTCACTGTCAGGGACACATTAGGCTGGTGAGAGGACCCCCAGCCCTGTGTGCACCCAGGTGTGCCCTTCCACATGGTAACAGGGCCAAAGGTGTCTGGGCCCTGCCATAAAGGCCAAGACTGGGCATCATGCCCTGGCTTCCATAGAGGACCTGTCCCTGTCCTGCCTGTGTCCCACCACCAGGACATCAGGTTCTAGTCCCTGGGGTGACCCATCCTACTGGTCAAGGCAGTTTCCTATGTTCCTGAGTTCCCCCAGTGACCTGTGGTTCCCAGCTCTTTGTGGGGCGCAGTAGGACAGGCAGGAGCCACTGGGGTCTGGTGGTCATTTCCTAGCCTTGCCCCCCTGGCTCTTTAGTCGCTGGAGCCCTCAGGGCCTGAGTTCTCGGATGCTCACAAGACGTGGTTGAACTTTGTCCGACGGCCAGAAGATGGTTCTTCCAAGAAACGCTGTCGCTGTCAATGCCAAGACAAGAAGTTGGTGAGCCCCTGGGCTGCCGCGGGGCCAGCCTTCCCAGGATCCTCCAGAGGGTTTAAACCCAGGGCAAGGGTGGCACTGGCTCCTACCGGGACCCTCACTTTCTCCTGCCTCCCCAGCGAGGCCTCTTGGGTCCCCCGGGGCCCCCTGGACCTCCAGGACCCCCAGGGCCCCCCGGTGTGGAAGTCGCCCCAGCAGCCCTGCTTCAGGAGTTCAAGGACATGCTGAAGGGTGAGGCTAACCCTAACCCTCTCCAGGCCCAGAAAGCCCCCACATGGCCCTCAGGGGCCTCACCCAGGTTGCCTCCTCCCTGCAGAGGCCACAGAACGGCGGTTCTCAGCATGGCCAGACCCGCCACTGTCCCGTGGGGCTGGCCCATGGCTGATGGTTGAGGCCTTTCACTGCCGGCTGAAGGGCCCCGTGCTGGTAGACAAGAAGACACTGGTGGAGCTGCAGGGTTTCCAGGCTGTGAGTGGGGATGTGGGCCCAGGACAGGTCCTGACATCTCTGGGGCACCCACTGCAAGTTCTCATTCACTAAGAGGGGGTCTATGGGGACAGGAAGCAGCGTGGGGCCCCTACAGGTGAGATGGGCCCACGGACATGACTGGGCAGTGTCTGAGCACAGGTACACATTGGCGATCTGGGGAGCCCATGCAGAGGGTGGGGGTGGCCTTGGTCAAGGTTAGGACCCCCAGTATGCCCAGACTATTCCTTATACCAGGACTCTGGCAGGGCCAGGGTAACCTGGGAGCAGGGAAGCCCTCTGTGTGGGGTTCTTGGGTTCCCATCCACTCTTTGGGGCCTAGGTTCTGTGCCCTGAAACTCAGATGGAGGTAGACACAGGGGTCAGCCATGTTCTCCCATGAGAATGAGACCCGCTTGGTTCAGTGGCTGTCGCCAATAGCGTCTCCCCCTGGTGAGGTGTGCAGGGTGAGGGTCCAGGCCCTGCAGCCAGCCGCTCACTCACTGCCCCTTACAGCCCACTGCCCAGGGTGCTTTCCTGCGGGGGTCTGGCCTGAGCTTGGCCTCGGGCCGATTCACAGCCCCAGTCTCTGCCATCTTCCAGTTTTCCGCCAGCCTACACGTGGGTGAGCCAAGCTGGGCCATGTGTTTGAGGGTGGGGATGGGTTAGGCCTCAGGGGTGGACACCTGACACTGTGGGGCCATCGGAGATGCTACTGCCCCATTTGGGGCCCTGTGTTCTGGGGCCACACATCCACCCTCCCCCAGCCCCTTGGGGTCTGCCCTTGGGCTGTGTGTCTTGAAGCCCCTCTCCTACCACTGTCTCCACAGACCATAGTGAGCTGCAGGGCAGGGCCCGGCTGCGGGCCCGGGACACTGTGCGTGTCCTCATCTGCATCGAGTCCCTGTGTCACCGCCACACGTGAGTGTGCCAGTCCCTGGGTCCACCTTTGGGGCCAGGACCACAGGCAAGCATCATGAGTGTATCTGAGCCTTCACTCTGGCTCTGCCCAGGTCCCTGGAGGCCATCTCAGGCCTGGAGAGCAACAGCAGGGTCTTCACGGCACAGTTGCAAGGGCTGCTGCAGCTGCAGGTGAGGGTGGCATGCTGACTCAGGTCATAGCCACTTGGGGTCTGCCCTTGGGTTGTGTGTCTTGAAGCCCTTTCCCTACCACTGTCTGCACAGACCATAGGGAGACGGTGGCTGGGTGCAGGGCCAGGGGCTGACAGCCCAGTGGGAGTCACTCAGGACCCTGGACCTAGCGCCCGGGAGGGCACTGCCTGGTGGGTCAGCTCTTAGGTGCATAGGTGGTCCTTCATCTGGGCTGGGCCTTGGCCCCAGGTGCTCTTCCTGTGTTGGAGAGGCTGTGGGACCAGGGTACCCACAGGCAGTGATGCCCACCGTGGTGCCTGCAGGCTGGGCAGTATGCCTCCGTGTTTGTGGACAACGGCTCCGGGGTGGTCCTCACCATCCAGAGTGGCTCCAGCTTCTCTGGGCTGCTTCTGGGTACCTGAGGGTGCAGAGGGAGCACCCTGTCAGGACCTGTGATTGCCCCTCTGAGGAAGGAGGCGAGAAGACCCCCAGTGGATTCCTGTGGTCACAGCAATAAAAGCCCCAGTACTCTGTTGCCCCGGGGTACTGCCTGGTTATTTCATTGGTGGAGGTGGGCGGGTGGCCGTGGTCTGCCTGGTGGTGTGCGTGCAGCCCTGGAGGATAGAGTGTAGACCTGGGGGCTAATGAGGTCCCTACCACATAGCGCCCAGGCTCTCCTGCCTCTGGGGGAGGTTGCAGCAGCAGCCAGGCCTCCTGGCAGTTTCCACATGTGCTAGGGGCAGTGTTGACTCTGAGGGACCAGGACAGACGTCCATGTGGGTCCCAGCCCATGGCCTGGAACCCCCTCTCCTAGGATCTGTGCCGCCTTAGAAGGCAACCTGTTTGGCCTCAGGGCCCCGGAAGCCTCATCTTGGGGAGCAGGCCATGTGGAATGACAGGCAGCTAGCTCTGGAGGCTGCCTCCTGTGGGGGAGAGGAAGAGCATTCAGGCCTGTGCAGGCCATGGGTGGGACTGTTCACGTGTGTGCAGACCACACCACGAGCACCTGTGGGCCCACGTGTGCTTAGCCACAGGTGTGGGCTGCGTCAGGCTGCCCAGCTGAGACAGGAGAGGGACAAGCGGCAGGCATCCACTTCTTGCCACCTTCCCCAGCGATGGCCTCCACATCCCAAAGGCCAGGGGCTGTGGAAGTAGGTAGGGTGGGCTTGGCAGAGCAGCCTTCCACCGCGGCCCTTGAGGCAGGAGCTGCTGGCCAAGGCCCTGACTCTCTGTGGTAGGTTTGGGTTTGAGGTCACCTGTGGCTACACCATTTTGGCTCTGGCAAACCCAGACCTCAGGATGCCTGGGCTGGAGTCAAACTACCCAGGTATGCCTTCTGGTTGGCACCCAGGCCCTCAGCAGGTGGCAGTGGGCCCCTAGCCTCTGACTCCTCCCCCTGGAATCATCCCCCAGAGTCAGGGTGGGAGGTAGCCAGCAGGCAGAGGGATGTGTCTGCAGGCTCTGGGCAGGGTGTGGGGTGCAGCAGTAGGCAGGAAGAGGCTGTGCCCAAGGCTATGGCCCCTCCTCGGGGACTTGACTCATCTGGGAAGACAGGGGAGGGCCCTTCCCTGAAGCCTGATCTGCAGTGGGAAGGCTGGTCCAGCCAGGCATGGAAGCAGTACCAAGCAGGCTTGTCCACTGACCCATCCCCACCTCTCTCCCTGATCCCCCCAGAGTGGCGTCAGGGGCTGGGCCTGTTTGCAGGGGTCTCTGCTTCACTGCGGCAGTTGCCGCCAGGTTTGGCAGGATATCCCTGACAACCTGCAAGGGCCAGTGTGGAGCACCCCTGGGTCCCCCATCCAGGAGGCTGAGAAGGGAGGGCTACCTGGGGGGCCCAGGCTTCGGGCAGGTGACTTTCCCTACCCCAAATTCCCAATTCCTGAGGTCCTGATGAGTCGCAGGGGCCCAGGCTAGGTGAAGAAGTCCAGACTTGGGAGCCCCCTGCAATTCTGTCACGACCCTTGCTGGTGCAGCCCACCTCACTGGGCCCAGGTGGAGCTCGGGGGTTTCCCTGCAGCCCCAGTCCCACTGGCCATAGAGAGAAAGGCCACATTGGAAGGACTATGAGCAGATGGGTGGAGGCACTGAGGACCCAAGTCCTGGCGGAGGCAGAACAAGACTTGAGAGGACGGCCTGGGCATATGCTGTCCTCATGTCATGTCTGCAGTGCCATGAGACGCAGGAGCCCTGGGACGCAGATACCCCACTCACATCTGATTTCCAGGGGCTCCTGCCGGCCCAGCCCTGAATCGCTAGTCCACACCTCCCTTCTCTGCCCCGCTAGGAGCGGCAGCCCCACCCTGGGCAGAGTGAGCTAGGGCCAGAGGCAGCCTCCCAGGACAGTGGGCTTGCCATGGCCTGGCGGCACCTGGTGGGGTCTCCACCACCCTTCTCTGGGCTGTGGGTCCTCTTGACCAAGGATTGTGGTGTTCAAGATGGAGCCCTAGAGACTTGGACCTGGGGTCCCACAGAGAGAGGCAGACAGAGAGACCAGGAAATGAGAGACACCAAGAGCGAGGCCAGCGCTGCAGAGCCCCACACTCGGGCAGGTGGCCAGCTGAGGTGGGCCCCTCCCGGTGCCCGGCTCCACCTGCAGCCACCTCGGTGTGACAGCCAGGGACCCCAGACCCGGACCAAGAATGGCCTGTGCCTCTCCAGTCAGTGTCCCGGGTGCTCGAGTTGATGGCTGAGTGTTCACACGGATGACATCAGGAACCTGAGGGTGTGTCCCAGTGTCCCCACACAGGTGCCCCTGAATGTCTGGAGTTTCTGTGGAGGGAGTGTGTGTGGGGTCTCTGTTTCCAGGGGTCTCTGCTCTGAAGCTAGGGCTTGCTTCAGGGCCAGAATTACCAGGCCCCTGTGCTACAGTCGTGGGGCAGGTTTCAGATGAGTCACCGAGCTCAGAAGTGGCCCTTGGCACCCAGTCTTACCGACTTATGGATAGAGATGGCTGGTGGCCCCAGGAAGAGAGGTTGCTATCTAGAGCCTCAATCTGGCCCACCGTCATGGCTGCCCAGGGCATTTGGTGCTCCCTGGCTGGGGAAGCTTGGTGAAAGGGTCAAAGGCGAGGGGCTTCTTACCCCCAACAAGACAGGGGCTTCTGGCACCCTGTCTTGGGGAGAAGCCCCTTGGGTGGCAGCAGGAACTTCGGGTCATCCATGGCCTCCATCCTGTTCACTGACTGGGCTTCCAGGTTAGGCTGCTGCCGCAGGCAGGATTCCATCGCTGGGACTTCAGCCGCCTGAGGTCTTCTGCAGCCTGGCACTTGGGCTGGAGAGCATTGTTGGTGTGGGCCACATGCCCCTGGCCTGCCAGCACAGTGTCACTATGGGCATGCCTGCCCGCTGTGCACCTGGTGGTTGTTTGGGTGGGCCTGGTGTGGAGTCTGGGGACAAAGGGTCTTTGTTTGGGAGGATTTAGGGCACTGCCCCTCCTGTGGGGCAGTGACTCACGGGTTCTTCCGGTGTGATAACATCAGTTTTGCAACAGCGGGCATGTCATACGCATGGCCCGCCTGGCCCGGTGGGGCTCCTGCCTTCACCTGTACCCACAGCCCTGAGACTGCCCTGCTGGGACATGGGTGTGCAAGGTGGCAGCCAGGGCAGAGCAAACGAGAAGTCAGGGGTTGGAGGCCCAGCAACTCCTTTCCACAGTGAAGTGTCTCCATGAGCTCCACTCAGTCCCCTAGGCCTGTGTCCACCCTAGCCCCAAACCCTTCCCTGAAGGCCCCCAGGCCTGCAGACCCACATCAACCCCAAGGGCTCCCTCAGCGGCAGGATGTACTGAGGCCTGACTCTTGGAAATACTTCCAGACGGCTGTGTGTGGATCTTTCTCTGGGGCTGGGAAGCCTGACTGGGACATGGTTGGAGGGTGAGTCGTTGACCCTCTGTCACCGCCCACAGGGACTTGAGCTGGCGTGGCCATCCATCATGTCACTTCCTCTGGGGATCAGAGGTGGTGGCTGGGAGTGTGGGGCCCCTCGGGGGAGGCTGGGCCAGCCGAGACCTTCAGACGCCACTGTAGGGAGGGCTAGGGCTTGGGTCACCTCCCTCTCTGGTCAGAGGCTGGGTCAGGCTCCAGATTAGTGGGAGGTGGAGCTGGACATGGGCTCTGCTTGGGCTCCTGCCCCACCAGACCTTGGCTCAGAGGGTGGGCTCTGCTTATAGTGTTCACTCTGGAGAATGGAGATGGCCACTGTCCAGGCTCCTACAGGCACACTCCACAGCTCCTGGCTGTTCCCCAGCTTCATGCTGCACTCAGCTCCAGGGGCAGCTAAGATGGGACAGGGCTCCCAGTGCTGCTGACGAACTCTGGCTGTGGACCTCCTTTGTGGCCCCACTGGAGCCAGGTGCCAGCCTCAGCCCATGGAGATGCTGCTGGCCAGGCCAGTGTCGAGCCTGAGTCTGGCAGGAAGCAGGACGGGAGAGTTCAGGGAACCCGGCCTTCTGGATTCTTCTGCACCTGCCTTCCCTGACTTCTCCCCATAGTGCCCTGGGCCTCAGCCACCCTCCTTGTAAGCCCACCCCCTGTGGGGATCCCCAGGGAGGAAGGGATGAGGGGGTCCAGAGAGTCATGCCATACTGAAGGAATTCCAGGCACATGGGGTAACGCACAGGCCCCAGGAAGCAGTGGGACGTCCCAGGATGGTTTCAGCGTTGGGTGGTGTGATTGGTGTGGGGAGCCGAGAGGAGGACACACTTGTGGAAACAGAGCTGAGGGGGGCTGGCAGTGCCAAAGGAGAGGGAACAGTGCCCACAGAGGCCAGTTGATGGTCGGGGGGAGGGGAGCAGGGCTGCTGGGGCTTCAGGGTCCCAGGAACAGAGATCCCTGGGAGGCTGGGCTATGGTCCCTCAAAAGCACTTTGTTTGCTTGAGGATGCTAGAATTTTTTTTTTCCCCCTCACAATTTTGCCTCCTTTGGGCTATTCTGAAAAGGTCTGGGTGGATGGGTGCCTTGGGAGGACCCACTCTGCATGCAGGTGCCTCCATGCCAACATGGGGGGCAGAAAAGGAGTGCTATCCTCTGAGCCCCCAGGTGTCCCAGTGCTCAACCGCGCACCCTGCCTTGCAAGCCTAAGTATCTCAAGCCCCTTGCCTCCTAAGGCCCTGACGCTATGTCCCCATCTCCAGGACCAGGACAACAGGTGGCTATGGCCACTCCATCTGTGCCAGGCTTCAGTCTTAGGTCCCAAGTCCTGATACTGCACTGATACAATGTGAATGTGGGGCATCAACCAAAGTAGGCTTTGTTCTGCTTTGACAAACTTGGTGTTCCAAGTTGGATTCAAGACCCTCACCCTTGCAGGTCAAAACCTGCTGCACACTGGCAACTCCATGTGGTTAGTCCGAATCCTAAAGCTCACAGCCCTGCCCACAGGAATGCACAGGCCCAGGGCCTGGCCTCAGGAATCTTCCCTAAATATTCCCTGAACAATGCACGTGTGGACGTCTCGGGCATATGATGCCCGTGGTGCTCTCTGGAGTACTGCAGAGGAGAGTGCAGCCCTGGCTCAAGTCCTGGCCCTGCCCCAGGCCATGTGGTCCTTGGAGTCTGCAGTCTCTCCAGGCTCCTTTTCTTCCCCTGAACAGTGGAGATAGGCCAGCAGCTGCTCAACTGATTCTAGGGTCCAGACGAGAGACCCCAGGTGAAAACGGCAAGTAGTTATCTGGGTCCTGCGTTACCAACACCCTTGGGGATCTTGCACCCCCTCAGTGGGCAGGGCCCTTCTGCTGCACTGATTCTTCCAGTCCCATCTAGGAATGATGTACAGGCCAAGTGTTCATCCTGGCTTCAGGGGCCTGCTGGACACTGCCGGCTCTACCTCCTCTCAACCCTGCAGCCTGGGACAGTCTGGCCCCATGCTCTGGGGTGGGAGATAAGTCTTCAGATTGCTGGCCACAGACCCCCTTCACCACCTTTCAACAAAATAACCCAATCCTGTGCCTGAAATTCACAGCTCGAGAACTCCAAACAGGTTGGAGGCTGCAGTGGCTCCAACCATCTGTCACCTCATGAAACAACCACAGTTTTCATTTTTGTGTGTGTGGAGCCCAGGGCCTTGCACACGTTAGTCAAGTGCTTCAACACTGAGCCATATCCCAGCCCCAGCTTTTCATACTCAATGGGTCTAAAAACAGGGACGGATGAGGGATGTTGAAAATATGGTGGTTCCTGTGGCCAGTGTGCCAGTGTGTAAGTCCTGGTCAACACTCCAAGGGCTGGGATTCCTCAGAATGGTGCCAAGTCTGGGCAACCAGGAATCTGAAGGCCTGTGTGGGAACCTTAGACGGAAAGTCTGTTCAGAAACAGACACACAACTGACCTGTGTGAAAACTTTAAAAACAGACAGCTTAAAATTCTTCTGTGTTTAACATACAGGGGCCTAGTCATCCACTCAAGTTACTTGACAGATTAACCCACAAACTCCAAGTTCTGAAATAAAAATATTTTTCTTAAATAACAGTAAAAAGAGACCTGCACACCGTCTGTGTGGAACTCTCATTGACACAAATGTACAATACTTACAAACAGGTCACAGGCAACCACTGAATTGTATTTACCATGAACTCACTCAAGAAACAGATCAAAATGCCATTAAAGCTAATTAATGTTAAACCAATTCAAATCTGACATGTGACAGCCACAACTGACAAGACACAAGAGTGTGACCTATCCAAATAATGCAGTGACAGCTTTGGATGGTGACAGTTGGGCCGCAGGTGAGGGGAGCTGCTGGCCCCAGGGGCCAGGGAGGTTCCTCCTGCCCTCACCCAATGGGAAGCAGCAGCTAGGCTGGGCAAATGCAGGCCAAGACCAGGGGTAGGAGGAGCTGCATTATGCAGCACCTCCAGGAGTCTCCGAATCCCCAAGATGTTCTTGGTTAGGACCACAAACGTGGCCACAAAAGCGCACAACTTGGGCGTGCGGTTGGGGTGAAGGGGGCTAGGTGTTGTTTGCTGCCGCCTGGCATCCACTGTCACCGCATAAGCCAGGTACTTCTAGAGGGCCTGGCAGATCAGTTTGTGTCCCTGGGACTCAGGGGATGCCCTCCTTCCGCTGACAGCACTGCGAAGGTGGCGCCGACCAGTCATAGACATAGGAGAGGCGCAGCTGCACCTCGCGCTTGCAGAGCCGGCCTTCGCGTAGCAGCATCTGCTGCTTCTCTAGCATGTCCTCCGGGCTCTGCTTGTGTGTCACCAGATACTGGTTGCTGCAGCCGCGCGACTTGTACTCGGTGTCGAAGCGCGGGTCGTGCTCCCGCTGTACATCCACCGGTGCCAGCCAGGCGCCCAGAGACACGTCCTCACTATGCCACGCGCGCAGATACTCGCGGCTGAGGCGCAGGTAATGGACCAGGTCCGCCGAGAGCACGTAGCCCCCGCCCAGCGCGTAGGGGAGATAGTAGTCACAGAGTTGCCACGCAGCCTCGCGCCAGCGACCTCCGGGCTTGACGCGCCCGCGACCCGAGAAGAAACCCCAGTAGAGGCGGCGGCGGCGCGCGGGCTCGCGCGCGCGGAGCTCGGCCAGCAGCGCGTCCAGCCGAGCAAACGAGTCGTCGTCTGCCTTGAGCACGAACTCGAAGGCCACGTGTTCGTCTAGCCAGGCCAGCATGGCCAGCACCTTGGCGGTGAGGTTCTCGTAGGCGTCGCGGAGTGCGGGCAGCAGCAGCAAGTCTCCGTGCCGCTCCTGCTCACGCTCCAGGGCGCGCCGCTGCTCCGCGCCCAGACCGCCCGTGCCCACGGCGAAGCGCGCCCACACGTCGCCGGTGCCGCCGCGCCGCACCGTCGACAGCCACGTGCTGCGCACAGCGGTACGGCGCTCGGCGGCGCGGGGCGCGCTGGCCACCAGGACGGCCAAAAAGGCGGCGGCGCGGGGCGCCGAGGCGGCGTCGGGAGCGGTTGCCTGGGACGCGCAGCGCGCCAGATACAGCAGCGCGACGCAGCAAAGCGCGAGGCCGCCCAGGCCCAGCGCCGCCCGGCGCCGCCACGCGCGCCGCGGAAGTCTCATCGCGGCAGCAGCCGCGCTGAATGCGCAGGCGTGGCGCCGAGGGGGCGACGCGTGCGCACGACACTCCCGGGCGTGTGGGCCTCCCTTGGGTGCTCCACCGGGCGGCGGGCCGTGGGCGGAAGTCGCCCTGAGGCAGCGAGTTCGGTAGTGCTTAGGTCCGGCCTTTTACCGGGGTGGGGAGGGCGGAGCCAGGACACTCATCACGTGTTCCCGCATGCTACTCTCATTGGCTGCCTCGGAACGTCCGCGCGGGTGCTTCCGCCCGGGGGAAAGATGGCGGCGCCCGCGTCCCCGACGGCCCGATGGCTGGCCCGCCTCTTCCCGGAAGAAAGATGGCGGCGGCCTGAGCCGAGGTGGCTAGCGGCGGTAGCGCTCCGCTGCGCTCCGGGACCGGCGCGTGCAGGAGGCGGTGAGTGAGGGCTGTGCCGGAAGCGCTCAGCGGCTCGCGAGTGCGCGTCCGGAGGTCGAGGCGCTTTGTCCGCTCCGGGTCTGGGTTCGCGGACTGAGGTGGCTTGGCCGGCGTCCTCGGGCCCGCGGGAAGCCGAGGCTGGGCTCGGCTGCCCCGACTCCTGCCGCCTCCGTGCACGTCCACCCGGCGGCGGGGCTCGGAGCCTGGAGCCGAGCGCAGAGCCCCGACTGTGGCTCGGTCTCTGGATCCTTGTTGCGCATGAGTGCGGCCGCAGCCGGCCCCAGAACTGCAGCCCCGTCCGTCCGGGGGAGCGCGCCGCGCCCCCGCACTGCTGTCCCTTCCACACCAGTGGCACAGTCACGCGGGACCGAGGAACCGGGGCCAGGAGGGGCGCAGAGCGATCAGTAAAACGTTGTAGAACGTGCCGTCTTGGAAGTTTATCTGAGTGTGGCCCCATCTCTTGGAAGAGTCCAGGCAGATGTTAACGTTTTGGGACGCGGTTGACAGACCCTCTTAGGTGCTTCCAGCTTCTGTGGGTGGGAAGGAGTCCTCGTGGGGAAGTGACGCATGGAGCCCTGCTCCTTAGGAAGTCCCATTCCGGACTGGAGAGGCTAGGAAGTGAGCTTCCGACTGGTTCAGTCCTGGTGCTGCTTTCACGTTAAGATGAGTAGCTGCTGAGAACCCAGGAGAAATTTCACTGGATGGACTCCTGATATTTGTGATTATTTGAGTTACTTTTCACTAAATGTTGTGTAAGTACCAGTTTCCTTATGATTCATCAAAATACATAGGATCAAGCTGGGTGTGGTGGTGCAGGCCTGTAATTCCAGGGGGCTGAGGCAGTTTGAGAACAGCCTGGGCAACTTACCTTGTCTCAAAATAAAATGAAAAGGGCTGGGGATGTAGCTCAGTGGTAGAACACCCTGGATTCAACCCTCAGTTCCAAAAAAATGTAGGCTTGAGAACTGACTTGATGGTGTCAGGGAGCAGAGCTCAGCTCCTGGCACCTGGGTGTGTCTCTATCAGTGGTTAATGAAGTCAACACCAGAAGACAGCTGTCTTGGTCCTTGCCCCAGGAAGCAGCAGGGCAGGCTTGAGTTCTCTCCTTGGAGACCCCAGGTCCCTTCAGCTTGTGGCTCTTGGCAGGCTGCATGCCACCACCACCCACCACCTTGAGAGCAGCATCTCTGCTGTTGATGTCTCCAGAGGCAGCACTTGCTGAGTGTCTGGTGTGTGCAGAGAGCGTGGTAGTTCTAGGAGACAGAGGCTGCGTAAGGTACCCCACTAGGATCCACAGAACTGTAGAGCAGGAGATGCCACAATGCACAGAGGTACCTGGAAGGGCTAGCAGGGGTTGGCCAGGTGGACAGATTTCATGGGCACATGAAACACCTTCCTGGTGTTCCCCAATAGATGTGAATGAGGATGTGTGTATTGGGTCACACGTGCATAGAGGGATGTGTATCTGCACGTGTGTACAGGGGCCGGTCATTACAGTGTGAAGGGAGTAGGGGCTGGATCCCTCCTGGGTGAGGGGGAGAGTTTGCCAGCACTCTGCATTAGGGTCCCCATGTGTGGGGTGGTGAGCTTCATGGTGTTCAGTGAAACACTTGAGGTCAGAAAGGTCAGGTGACTTAGCCACGGTAATGGAGCTCTAGAGTGTTCAAGTCAGAACCTGGACAGTGAGTGATTAGCCCCCAGGTACATGTCGGAGGAGGAGGGGTAGAGTCAGGCTGTGTCGGCAGGTTGTACCGTTGTCATGGGGTAGTTGACCGCTTTCAGCAAGAGACGGCTGGAAACCCGGGGATTGAACCCAGGGGTGCTTCGCCACTGAGCCACATCCCCAGCCCTTTTTATTTTTTGAGACAGGGTCTTGCTTAGTTGCTTAGGGCCTTGCTAAGTTGCTGAGGCTGGCTTTGAACTTGTGATCCTCCTGCCACAGCCTCCCAGGCCATTGGGATTATAGGCGTGAGCCACATGCCTGGCTGAGACCTAGGGTCCTTAAAAAAGCAGGGAGGAGGTTAGGGCTGTAGCTCAATGACAGTGTTTGCCTACCCCTGGGTTCCATTAGCACTGCAAAGTTCCATCAGCACTCGTGGTCCTGATCCTGTGAATGAGGACCTCTGCCTCTGGCTGTAAGATGAGCATGTTTGCTGAAGTGTTTGCTGAGTTGCACTAAATGGTGGATCTCTGTTTTTTTCTAGACCATTAACTGCTTTTCAAGGTCTGGAGGCTCTGGGCCCTGGGCCTCAACCCGTGCCTCAGCCCTTGGTGGTGCCTGGGGCTTTGCTCGGATCCACGGCCTTCTGCAGCTCCCCTGTGTCCAGCTCCTGGCCTGCACATTACCAGCTGTCCGCCCTTTCTGGCTCACAGCGATGGTGTCCAGGCAGGCTCCCCTCTGTGGCCTGGCTGCACACTGCCTCTGGTTCCTGGGCGTTATCCTTCTGATGGACGCATCTGCTCGACCCGCCAACCACTCTTCCACTCGGGAGAGGGCAGTCAACAGGGAGGAGAACGAGATCCTGCCCCCAGACCACCTGAATGGGGTGAAGCTGGAGATGGACGGGCACCTTAACAAGGACTTCCACCAGGAGGTCTTCCTGGGGAAAGACATGGACGGGTTTGACGAGGATGCGGAGCCACGGAGAAGCCGGAGAAAGCTGATGGTTATCTTCTCCAAGTAGGTGCCCACGCATGCCATGTTTACCCAGGAGGTCCAGCCTGGCTGCTCATTGTGGGAGACAATGGGGGGCCCCTGAGGACATCCTGTAAGGAACAGCACTACAAGCATGGGCTCATCAGGTCTGTAGTGCTGGGCTGAGGGTGGAGCTGCTGGCCCTGAGCTGTGTCTCAAGCCTGGGTCAGCAAGAGGTTCAGGGGCCAGAGGTGAGCTGTCTGAGGACTCTGAACCAGGAGACTCCCTGGGGGCTATATGTTAGCCCATGCGCGCGCGCACACACTTACTCTTCCTCTCACACACACTCTCACACCTACCTTTTCTGCTGGCCACTACTGTGGTCAAGGGCATGGTGGGGTGGGGTCACAGAAGGTTGCACTTCTAGCTAGATGGGGTAGCCACGCAGTGGCCACAGTCACAGAACATGCACATGGCTCCTGTTGCTTCCTCTGTTCCTATCGCCTGTCCCCAAGCCCTGGGTCTCTTCCTCCTTTGACAGGGTCTTTGCTCTGAGTCCTGCAGGTGTGCAGGCATTTGTGTGGCCACCTGCTGCACAGTGTGCTTGGTGAACCCTCACGAGTGCAAGCCACAGGGTCTGGATGGTTCTGCTGCTGTGCCTGAGGGAGGTCTGTTCCTAGGATGGACTTTGCCACCAGTGGCCGCTGCGGACCACACCACCCACCTCTCTAAGCCCTGGTTTTCCGCATCCCCATGGGGAGGATGGTGTCGCTCTTCCTGGCAGGCCGGCAGCGGCCTCTGGAGCCTTGAAGGCCAGTGGTGGTCATTCATCATCTGACAGGGGTTCTGGGGGCCGTGTCTGATCTCCCCCTCCTGCTCTTCCACAGGGTGGATGTGAACACTGACCGGAGGATCAGTGCCAAGGAGATGCAGCGCTGGATCATGGAGAAGACGGCCGAGCACTTCCAGGAGGCCGTTAAGGAGAACAAGATGCACTTCCGGGCCGTGGACCCTGATGGCGATGGTACCTTGGGGCCTGGTGGATAGGGCTCCCGGCAAGGGACCAGAAGATCAAGGAAGCCAGAGGCAGGGGCCCCTGAGCATGGCAGGGGGCACCATAGGGACACAGAGGGGCTGCCAGCTAGTTTGTTTTCACAGTGGCTGGCATTCACTGAAGATGTAGGGTGCACAGAGGAGCAAGTGGTCCTCAGGTTTCCTTGAAAGAAACTCAGCTGTCAGGAGTTTGGGGCTCCTGCCCTGCGTACGGCCAGGCTGTGCCTCAGTTGGCCCTGTGTGGTGGAGACCCCCGCTGGCCCTGCTGGTGAAAAGGCAGGTCCAGGGTGGGCCAGGCACTGGGTGCTCCACCCCTTGACCACCGCCTTGGGGGCCTGCTGAGAGCAGGTGGCCCAGGTCTTCCGCCCTGCAGCTCACTGTGGCCAAAGGACCTCTCACAGATGTCCTGCAATAACCCAGAGTCTCCTCCACAGTGTTTCCTGCCAAGTGTCCTCACAGACCTCCTCTTTTAGGCCGCGTCTCCTGGGATGAGTACAAAGTGAAGTTTCTGGTAAGCAAAGGCCACAGTGAGAAAGAGGTTGCTGATGCAATCAGGAACCACGAGGAGCTCAAGGTGGACGAGGAGAGTGAGTGCTGGGCCCTGGGCAGTGGGGCAGTGGGTCACCTGGCTGGGTGTGTGTGGCCAGGTGTGGTTAGAGGGCACCTGAGCCTCACAGGTCTGTACAGGATGCCTGGCAGACCTTGCAAGGCCTGGGCCTGGGGATCTGCTCCAGTTGTATAGGGGAGGACTGTCTCATGGACATGCCCTGTGCCTGTGCGTGTGGTGTCCTCTGGACAGTGTGGGTAAGAGGGAAACGGGGGGCTGTGTAGAGATCCACACACCCTGAGGCACCCGCAGGGAGGGTGGCGAGTGGTGGGTGGGTGCTCTGGGTGCATAACTGGCAGGCACACTGACACCTCAGTGCCGTGGCTTACTCACAGTTGAGGCAGATCTCTGTACTCGGGAGGCAGGGAGAGCTGGCCCCGTGATGGGAGGCTCCCATGGAGAGAGCAGCCTGGGCCACGATCCCAGGCACAGTGGCAGGCACGTGGGGCAGGGCCTGGCAGAGACCTCCACAGAGCAGCAGGGCAGGCAGGAGCAGGCAGCATTCTGTCCCTTCCGGGGGACCCCACCTCAGTCAGGTGTGGGGTGTGGGTCGCAGGCCGACGACGAATCCTCAGCCTGGTGTCAGCCGTGCCACACCAGGGGGCAGGGGCAGGGGCAGGGCCCGGCTCCAGGGGACTGTGGGGAGGACTGTCTCATGGACATGCCCTGTGAAGCAGGATGAGGGGACTGGACCCATCTGGCTCTGTGCCCTCGCCCCTGTCATGCTGGACTCCCTCGGCCCACATCTGGCTCCACATAGGTTAGGCCCATGGTGTCCTCTTGGTCCACCTTGTCCCCGTGAGGGCTGGTGCCTGTGGGCCCTGCATGCCACCCTTCAGCTGGGTGTGTGGCTCCCTGGCGGGGCGGGGCCCAGAGGGCCGCGGGGAAGCCTGGGAGCCGGGAGCCCTCCTGCTGCCCGTGTGCAGGCCCTACCATGGTGATACGTTGCTCCTGTCTTTCTCTTTTCTCTCTGGTTTCTTTTTTTTTTTTTTGCAGATGGGTTCAAACTCCTGGGCCCCAGCAGTCCTCTTGCCTCAGCCCCCCATGCTGGGCTGGCAGGCCCCATTGCCCAGCCCAGCTCTGTCCCCAAGGTGGGATTGGGATGTTTGGGTTTCCCTCCTCCCTGGTCGCCTGTCTCTGCTGCCCCTGGAGTTCCCCTTCGGGGGGCCCTGGGTCTGTCCTCCTGCCTAGCAGTTGGGAGCTGCTTTGGCTGGCCCTGTCTTCCGCCTCATCTTCCTTTGGGGGCTGGTCATCTCGGGGCCCCTTCACTCGGTGTGTCTGTCCTCTGGAGGACATGTCCTTCCCGCACCTGCGCAGTCCCTGTCTGCCCTTGGTCTCAGGAGCCCTGTGTCAGGATTCCTGGCATCTTGGGTGCCTGTGTGCCCCTAGGGTCCCAGCCCATGCTCCAGCCTGTACGTCGACTTTCTCCACCTCAGCCTGCTCCAGGTTCCTTGCTTGGCGCTCCCCTCTGGGGGATCCGAGGGATGGGGAGGCCTGGGGTCCTTGTCTTCTCCCTCGTGTGGCTCCCAGGGCACCTCGGTGCACTGCTGAGTCCTGGGCTGTGTTTCTGACGGACACTTCACGTCCCTCCATGTCTTGTCATGGCTTCCTGTCAAGGGAACCCCCAGATCCGGAAGTTCACACCCAGATCCTCTTCCCACAGAGGTCCTATCCACAGGTGCCAGGGAGTGTGTCCTGGGGGTTGGCCGGCAGGTGTTAGGGTAGTTCAGTGGGACAGTGCTATCTTGTGGAGTGATCCTGCCCAGAGAGAGGGTCTTGGGATGGGCCTGTCCCATTGGGGTCTCGGGGTCGACCCCACCCTGCCATCCATGGAGCAGGCAGGGAAGGGGGCGGCCTGTGTTCACCAAGCCCCGTGCCTCCCACCTCCCTAAATTTTTTTCATTTAATTTTTGGTTTGTTGAGATGGGGTCTCGGTCACCCAGGCTGCCTGGACTCCGGGGCTCAGGCAGTCTTCTTGACCCAAGTCTCTGCCATAGCTGGAACTCTTGGTCTGTGCCACCACCCCTGGCTCCCATCTTTTTTCGGAGTCTGTCCTGTGAATGAGGCCACCACAGGGTGGCCTGTTGAGCAGAAAGCACTGAGCTGCGAAGGTCACCCCCAGCTGCCACAGCTAGGAGGGCTCCGGGTTCTGGAGGGGATTCTCTAGCCGGGATCAGGCCTTGGGCTGAGTCAGGACCCAGGTGAAGCCTCGCTGCAGGCACCAGGACGTGGTCACTGACCATAGTGGGTCCCAGGAGGATGAGGGTATCCTGTTTTGCCTGGGGACGTGTGGGGATGTCCCAGACATAGGTAGCTGCCGCTTCAGAGAGCGAGGACCGTGTACACAAGGTCTTTGTGGGCCCAGCCGGGAGGGCCCCTGGGAAGCTCTGCTCACCACCTCAGTCATTTCTAGAAACTGGGTTTTCTGCAGCGCCCTGTTTGCTGGGTGAGGCTGCACGTGCAGTGAGTAGGGAGCAGGGTGATGCCGTCTTTCCTGCAGAGCGCGGGGGTGAGTCAGCTCGCTGTGTGATTTCCACTTCTGCCTAGGAATAAACAGCCGGAGTGTGCAGGGCCAGGGGTCAGGGCCTCGGGGGTCTGGGCTGTGTCAGAGGGTCCTGTGCTTCGCCTCGTAGGCCCTGCCCTCCCAGGTGGGCCAGTACTGGGCCTCAGCTCAGTGTGTCCTGCCTGCTGCTCTCTTGGAGCCTTCTGGCCTTGGTGCCAGGATGCTCACAGGCCTGCCTCTCTCAGCACAGGAAGTCCTGGAGAACCTCAGAGACCGCTGGTATCAGGCAGACAATCCCCCCGCAGACCTGCTGCTGACGGAGGATGAGTTCCTGTCCTTCCTTCACCCTGAGCACAGCCGGGGCATGCTCAAGTTCATGGTCAAGGAGATCATCCGGGACTTGGGTAAGGCCCATCCTATGGCTGGGCTGTATCCGGCCCAGCAGGCCTCAGGCCTGGGGGTGACCAGTGGACTTGGAGTGCCTGTGCTTCCCGAGTGGCCAGGTTTCCCTACTCTGCTGTCCAGAGGCCGGGAAGGAGGGTAGGCCAGGCCTGGCCAGGTTCTGGAGCAGGTCCATAAGAAGCACCTGTGGGTTCAGGCCAACGTCACAAGCTGAACGTCTGTGGCACAGTCTGCTGCATTTGCCACACAAGGTGTCTTGCAAGTGTCCCCCTCCCTGCCCCGTGTCTGCAGACCAGGACGGCGACAAGCAGCTCTCTCTGCCTGAGTTCATCTCGCTGCCTGTGGGCACCGTGGAAAACCAGCAGGGCCAGGACATGGACGACAGCTGGGTGAAAGACAGGAAGAGAGAGTTTGAGGAGCTGATCGACTCCAATCACGACGGGATTGTGACCATGGAGGAGCTGGAGGTGAGTGAGGACACGGAACAGGGTGTGTCCGAGGACAGCCCTGGGGACAGGGCTGTATCCTGCCCGCCCACAGCAGTGACTGGGGGGAGGACGGCCACTGTGGTGGCCGTGGACCTGGGTCAGGCTGGCTGTGGCGTGTCCTTGGTTGTGCCTAGCACTTTCCAGGAGGGCCCACCCAGGGTGGGCGTTGGCCTTTCTGCCCCGACAGGTCAGACAGAAACTCCCAGGAAGACCATCGGGCCTGCTCCTGACTTGGCGGCTCGGCTCCGTCCTTGGGAGGTGTTGGGATTCGGTCTTTTCCTGGTTTTCTTTTTTTAGTGTTAAGTAGCTGTCACTGCGGTATATTGTCCCAGTCGCTTTCTGTTTGTTGGTGGTGCTGGGATGGGCCCTGGCCTCAGGGACAAGGGTTCTGTCACTTTGCACACCTTGCCCTGTGTCAGGGCTCCAGGACCCTTTCTCAGGGCCCAGAAGGAAGCACACATTGGACCCAGTTCTGGGCTGGCATGCGGGTGGGGGGTCACAGGGCAGGGCCTGCCCTCTGCTGTGTGGGTGGGAGTGTTGTCCCTGGAGTCCTGCATGGTGGCTGCCTGGTGGTTTCCCCGTGTGCGAGAGGCATGGGGTTCTCTGGTGGTGGAGCAGGGCTGGCTGCGGTTCAGCCCTTCATCGGCCCTGGGTTCTACGGCCGGCCGGGCCCTCCCTGCCTCGTGGCCACATCAGTGTGTTTGGTACGACCCATTGCAGGCCCCAGGCAGGTGTTTCAGGGCCCCCAGCTGCTGCTTGTGTTCTTCCCATCCATCATCATCTCCCTTCTGGAACATTCCAGAACATGCCCACATCCCTGTCCTGCAGCCAGGGGGCATTTTAATCGAGGAGCCACACTTTGAGTGGTCACAACAATAAAGCCTTGTGCCTCTCCCCTGAGACCCAATGTGCCACTCTTTAGCTTGTCACGGTGTCCGTGTCCAGGTGTGTGGGGGAGGACCAGCTGGGTTGGGCCACTCCGGGTGTGGGGAGTGGACTGCTGACGATGCCAGTACTTGCCACAGAACTACATGGACCCCATGAACGAGTACAACGCCCTCAACGAGGCCAAGCAGATGATCGCCATTGCGGACGAGAACCAGAACCACCACCTGGAGCCCGAGGAGGTGCTCAAGTACAGCGAGTTCTTCACGGGCAGCAAGCTCATGGACTACGCCCGCAACGTGCACGAGGAGTTCTGAGAGGCCCTGACTTGGGCCCAGCTCGCTTCTGGCCCTGGGGGGGGGTCGTCCCACCTGCAGGGGTCACCACCAGCCACAGTGTGCTGCCCAGAACCTTCCTTCCTGCGGGCCATGCACAGCCCTGGCTCCGTTCCCAACCACAGCGTGGCCCAGGTTCATTAAAGATCTGCTCACTGTCCTGTGTGTCCCTGTGCAGTGCGGGTCCAGCGGGTGGCCAGTCCCCGGGCCAGACTGAGCTGAGCGTGCCCAGCACGGCCCTGCCCTCTGGGCCTCCATGGCTCCGTCTCTTCTGAGAACTGCCGAGTTCTGCTGAAGGTGCTGACGCGGTCAGCACTGGGCCCCTCGCGGGCTGCCCACACGTGGGAAATAGGGAACCTCCTGCCGTTTCCTGGAAAACTGAAAGGACAGAATCAGCTCTGCTGGCAGTGGTCGGCAGTCAGGAAGGCCCCGCTTCCTGGCGAGGGCTGGGTGGGTCACTGGGCGGGCCCGGGGCCTGTCGGACCACAGGGACCGCATGCAGCCTGAGAAAACGCCAGCATTCCTCGTCACAAGGACCATTAATGTAAAACAAGTTGGTTTTTCTCATGCTCCCTCCTTTTGGTGGAAAAACTGAGCACGACAGCTGGGAGTGTCTCAGGCCAGGCGGTTCCACTGGAGTCTGTCTTTGTCTCTATCTTTTTTTTTTGAAGACGTTGGTCGACCTTTACTTTATTCATTTATTTATATGTGGTGCTGAGACTCGAACCCAGTGCTAGGTAAGTGTTTGACCACCCAGCCCCAGCCCCAGCCCTCGCTAGAAGTTTTTGAGGTGGGCATCTGGTTAACGTGAGGGGTTCCTAGCTTTTGTTAAACAGTTGATTGTACTAAAGATGGAAGAGGGCAGCCTGCAGAAAATGGGACAGCTGTGACCAGCGGGGACTGTGCCCATGGAGCTGGTGGGTGGCTTCAGTGAGTCAGTTTTGTGTGGAGGTCAGCAGCAGAGCACGGTGGGGCGGGGGTGGAGAGCAGGATGAGTGCCTTAGGATGGCTGATGTGCCACCTGCCTCTGGCCATCCTGGGCCCACCCTGCATTCCCGTGTGACTGGTCATCTTCCACCAGGACCTGCTTCTGTGCAGTATGGGGGGACCCTGGCAGCTGTGAGGGAGGGTGTGTTAGCATCTGGATTGGTTTGTAGACCAGAAGAAAGACTTCAGATCCCAGGAAAGTCTCCACGGGCTCTGCCTTCTGTAACGTCGCCCAAATGGCAATGCCCACCCTGCTGGGGTGTGACCACGTTGGGCTGGCCTGTAGCCTGTCCTTACCAGCCAGTGCTACTGGGCCCCCTCAGCTCATGGCCCTGGGCTGGGGCAGCATCTGAGAACTGGCCCGTGGGCAGTGCAGCAGCCAAGGTGTGAGCTGACGGCAGGCTGGATGCTGTGGTGTGCGCACCTGTTCTTTCTGAGGCCCCCGGGTCAGCCGTTGGTGACCCAGCTGCTCTGGGTACCCCTGTGACTGCCATGCTCAGGGGAGGGGGGGACGCATGCACACACTGCCCTGGGTCATGGACATGAGGCTGTGCTCGGGTCCTTCGGCTCACACCTGTGGTCTCCCTTGCAGACCTCAGGATCCTAGTCCAGGTGACAGAGTGGAGGCGGTTCCTGACAGTGCCTCTGCAGACCTGGGACTTCCCACCCAAGGCCCTGGGACCTGCACAGGCAGTGCCACCGTCACTACAGGCAGGACAACTTCAAGCAGGGGAGGCTGCTTCCCAGTGAACCTGCTGGAGGGTGGGCAGCCAGCATCCAGGTTTCAGTGCACCTCGTCACCTGTGGCAGGTGCCAGCCCATTGGCCAGTCATGCACAGCCACGGGCAGAAGAGACCAGCCTTGCCAGAGGGGCAGGCAGAGGAGGAAGGCTGCTTCAAAGTGGAAGAGGTGCACATCAAGACCCCCAGCTCACTCTCGCTGCTCATGGGCCACAGGTTTAAAGAGGAGGACCTTCCTTCCTCCGAGACCCCACTGCACTTAGAGGCTGGGGGGGTGGTCTCTCCTTCCACTTCCTTCCAACCGCGGTCTGGTCCCCACTTGGCCCCGCCTCCAGGCTGGGAATTTCCTGCAGGTGGGCCAGGCCACTCTCACCTGTGTGGCTTGTGGGTGGGGGATTTCCAGCCCCTCCCCTCTGCTCATCCTGCAGGGGTGGGGAACTCCATTTGCAGCTTTTAAAATTAACTCGGGAATAGATAATCCTGTCATGGCACAGTTTAATAGGTACAGAAGGGACAGAGAGAGCCTTCCCCGTCCTTACCCCACCCATTTTCTTCAAGGCAACAGTGGTATCAGAGGGTGTCCAAATCTAAGAAAAGAAAGCATCTGCTGGGTGTGGGGCCATGCTGTAATCCCAGTGACTGGAGGCCGAGGCAGAGTGTTCAAGTTCCTACATAAAAGGCCAGTCTGGGCAACTTAGGAAGACCCTGTCTCCAAAATAAATAAATAAAGGACTGGGGATGTAGCTCAGTGGTAGAGCACTTAGCATGCACGAGGTTCTTGGTCCAATCCCTGGTACTGCAAAAAATTAAAACAGTCAAGCACAGTGCCCAACCTATAATCCCAGCTACTTGGGAAACTGGGGCAGAAAGATTGCAAGTTCAAGGCCAACCTTGCAATTTAGTGAGACTGTCTTGAAACTAAAAGGACTGGGGATGTAGTCAGTGGTAAAGTGCCTCTGGGTTTGATTCCTCTTTATCACAAATGACATATGCACATGTATGTGTCCCTGTTGCACCCATGTGTACATGGGGTGCACCTGTGTGTGCTCTTCCCTTTACATGACCAGGTGGCTGCATGCACACTCTGCCCTGGGTCATGGACACTAGGCTGCTCTCAGGAATGAATGCCCCAGGAGTTCCTGTCTCTCTGGGTGGCCCTGTCCTGTGAGTGGGTTTCTGATCTCGCGACTAAAAGGCTCAGGGGTCACTCTAGTTAAACTGGGCTAACTGGGCTGCACGAAATAACCACACAAGAGACACAAATACCTTTTTCTTTGGGGTTGCTGTGATGGCTCCTCTGACCTTGAGGGTCCACAAGAAGAAAGAGCAAGAGCACCCGCTGACCCCTTTTATTGAGGAGAAGCTATTCAAATGAGGCAGGGGATCAGGTTTCAGGGGGCTGAATCTATCTTCATGATGTCCACTGTCAGCAGGTTGACTGACACCTGGGTAGGCCACACCCAAGGGCACAGTAAGAGGAGGGGACACACACAAGGCCCTTCCATGGAAGATTCTATCCTAAACGGGGCAAGGGGCTATATTACGAAGGAACAGGTGAGCGTAGCTTCACCCACGGGGCTGTAGCAAGACACACCCATGCCCGAGACAGCGACCCTTGCACCCAAGAAGGGTGGGGAAAGCTCTGCCACGTTTCTGCGACTGAGCGCCTCAGCTCCCAGCCGGGGAGTGTGACCAGTCACGTGTGAGGTTGGTCTCCCACGGCCTGTAATCAGCTCTCTGGAAGACAGGGTTGTCCAGGCCATCAGCAAGGACGAGTGTCGGCAGGGATGCAGGGACACACGCGTGTGCACGCCAACGGGCACGCACCTGCTTACACACTTTCTTCCCGCCCCTCCCCACCCTCCCCCGCAGCCCTTATAGCCACATCCTGCAAGGAAAAACCCCAGACTCCTGTGAACGCAGAGATGCGGACGTGCCTGGGGGCTTGGGGGCCTGCTGCCCTTCTGCTCCTTGGGCTCCTGCTTGAAGTCAGGGCTGCACTGAACTGTGTCGGAAACACCTATCCCAATGGCCAAAGGTGCTGCCAAGAGTGCCAGCCAGGTGAGTGGCCTCCAGGTGGGGAACACCCAGAGGAGAGGTGACAGGGACACAGGCATGGTGTCCTGGGAGGAGCAACGGGGTGCTGCTCTGGAGGACCTGGCCTGAGTGGGGCCTGTCCTGAGAAGGAAGGCACGGGTCTGTGCAGCCCAGAGAAGTGGCCTGTGAGTGCCCACGGGCCAGCCTGGGTCAGCCGCCAATGTGCTGAGCTCTGCTGCAGGTAGTGGGATGGTGAGCCGCTGTGAGGGACCCAGGGATACCGTGTGCCTCCCCTGCGACCCGGACTCCTACAATGAGGCAGTCAACTACGAGGCCTGCAAGCCCTGTACCCAGTGCAACCAGAGTAAGCCCCACCCACCCGGGCCCCAGCCAGCAGGGGGGCAGCCACAACCAGCACCACATTCCCAGGAGCTGCAGAAATGAGCCCTGCATCCCAGACCCCCTCTTGGGGCGGAGGCTCTGCTCTGCTCTGGCTGTGGCTTGCCTGGAGCCACGTGGAGCTCCTACCCTGTGGCCTTACCTCAGCCCAGGAGCCACCAGGGTCCAGCTCAGGTGCTGCAGGCTAACAGGTGGAAGGAGGGTGGGGAAGAGAGCCAGAGCGGCCCCAGGGCCCTCACCAGGGTCTGGTGACTCAGAGGAACCGAGGGGCCAGGGAGACCTGGGGCTTCGGGTTTGCAGAGGGGGCCTGGGATGAGGCTGGAGAGGAGGCCAGCTCCCCCTTCCTGGGGCACCGTCTGCAGCCTGGGCAGGCCCAGCCTCCTCCACAGCCTCCACCTGCTCCCCCAGGAAGTGGGAGTGAGCTCAAGAAGAAATGCACACCCACGCAGGACACTGTCTGCCGCTGTAGGCCAGGCACTCAGCCCCTGGATGGCTTTAAGCCTGGAGTCGGTGAGCCTCGTGGTGGCCCTGGCCTGGGGTGGGAGTGTCTGTGCATGTCCAGTGCGTGTGAGGCGGTACCCTCAAGCCACAGGCCTTGGTAAGGGTGTGAATGAGCCATGTTTCACATCACACAGTCGGTCCCCAGTCTCCCCCTCTGGGCTGGGCCAGAAGGCTCACATCAAGAATGGGGTTCCCCGTCAGCTCCCTGGTAAGGGTCAGTGGGCAGAGCGCACAGGGGTCTTCCAGAGGCCTTCCACCCACCCGCTTGCCAGGGGGGTGAGCACCAGCCCCACAGGCCCCGACGCTAGGAACCTCCAGGGTCAGAGCTCAAAGACCCCCGCCCGGGGTCTTTGCTGCAGACTGTGCCCCCTGCCCTCCTGGCCACTTCTCACCAGGCGACAACAAGGCCTGCAAGCCCTGGACCGAGTGAGTGGGGTGGGGGCAGGGGTGGGTCTGGGGCTCAGGGTGGGGGGGCGCTGGGCTCCCACGGAGGGCTGGGCCAGGTCAGGGAGCAGGAAGCCCTGGCTGGGGAGCTCCTGGGGCCTGTCCCCAACAGCAGGGTCCCTGCGGGTAGAGTGGAGGCCTGTGGGATCATAACTCGGGGCCCCAGGAGTGTGAGGCCCCCGTCCTCCAGGGTTCTACTCCAGGAGCTGGAAGAGGCGTGCTGTGTGGGTTTGGGGTGCAGAGGTGGCAGGGAGCTGGGGAAAATGGGGACCAGGGGTTGGGGGTCATGGGGATGGAGGGTAGGTGCAGCAAGGCGTGTGGCCTGAGGAAGGGGGTAGGCGCTACCTCCAAGACCTTTGGCCTAGAGTCAGAGGCTCTTGAGGTCATGCCGTGTGGAGCCCATCACCATCTGGCCTGACTGACCGACTCCCCCTCCCCCAGCTGCACCTTGACTGGGAGGCGCACCCTAAAACCGGGCAGCATGAGCTCAGACACCCTCTGCGAGAACAGGACTTCCCCAGGCACACTACCCTGGGAGACCCAGGGCCCCACAGCCAGGCCCACCACTGCCCTGCCCACTGCAGCCCTGCCTGGAACTTCTCTAGGGCCCTCCACGCCCCCATCAGAGGCCCCCAGGGGTAAGGGGCCTTGCCCAGGAGGGGAGTCGGGATGGAGAGTGGGGTGGGGGTGCCCCCTCACTGACATTCCTTGCAGGCCTCCCGCTGGCTGCTGTCCTGGGCCTGGGCTTGAGCCTCCTGGCTCCCCTGGCTGTCCTGCTGGCCCTGCACCTGCACGGAAGGGCCTGGAGGTCATCCGGTGAGTGTCCACTGTGACCAGCCCAGGCCCCTCCTGGAGGAGAGAGACACCCCACCTCCAGCCACCTCCCTCTTCTCCCTAGGGGGAAACAGCTTCCGGACCCCCATTCAAGAGGAACAGCCCGACGCACACTCCACCCTGGCCAAGATTTGAGAGCGTCTTGGGGGTGGGCTTTGTGGGGCAGCGCCCCAGGCACAGGCCACCCACCTGTGCCCTCCACACCGTTCTAGGTGCTGGGCCGGCTCTGGGCTCTCCTACGTATGTTGTGCATACTACCTGCCCAACGGCACCCCAATAAACACATCAGCTACTGTGGCTGCACCCCCCTCTAGCTGGGGAGGGATCTCCGCCAAGCTCAGGGTGGGGGTCCGCTCAGAGGCTCCTCTGAGTGGGCAGGGCATGCTCCAGTTTGAGGGTGAGAAGTGGGCGGCGACTGAAAGTGTCCTAGTGGAGTCCTGGGGTCTTGGGAGGCACTGGAGATGGCAGAGTGGAGCCCTGGGGGCTTGGGCCTGAGAGCTGCACAGAGGCCTCTGTTCCAAGGGACCCACACCGTAGGCTGATTGGGGGGAACCCTGACAGAGAGAAGGACCCTCGTGCCCCGGTCAACACAGGGGCCCTGCAAGCCCCAGCCTCCTTTCAGCTTCTGCGGCTCTGGGGAAAGCCTGGGGTGTAGTTGTTCTCCAGCCTCTAAGCCCCACCCCTCTACCTGGTGGGCAGTGGCCATGGGAGTCCCTGGTGGGAGGACATTGCCTGGGGAGTCCCTGGTGGTAGCTGGCCACAGTCCCCATGTCCCTGCAGGGGCACCCCATGAGGCAGCCACTTTGTAAAACTAGAGGCTTCTGCTTGGACCAAACTCTATCCTGAGACCTGGCTGCTCTGCTCCTGGGCTTTTACCCCCCAGAAACAAGTGCCCTGGAATGTGAACCAGTGTCCACAGGCACCTCATGTAAAAATCATCCCCAGGTGGAAAAGCCCCAAAGTCCACCGACAGCAGAGTAAGCAGGCGACTGAAGACAGCTCAGACGGCCTCCCAGGCCACACCAGCGCCATGCTGAGAGACAGGAGGCCGTGACCCCCTTGGGGTTCAAGATCCCAGAGCCACCCTCCGCTGCTCAGGGGTCCTAGGGCCAGCTCTGGGACCACAGCCGCCTGATAAGATGCTCAATGGCCTAAAGACAGAAGCCACATGGGAGGGTCCTCATCCCAGGGGGGAAACGGCTGGCAGGTGTGGCCGAACACATGAGCAAATCCACAAGTCGGGAGAGGGGCTGGTGTCGGGAGCTGCCACCACCGCGGGAGCACGCAGAGCTGAGGTGGGACAGCCTTCACTGGCCTGGCCACCTGGGCCATCTGGCCTGACTCTATGACGGGCTGCGGTATCGAGTCCTTGTGGTGCTGGGGTACTCTGTCTGACCCCAGTGCCTGGCCCTCCTGCTCCCAGGGCTCTGACTCCCCTTCCCAAACACCTTTTTTCTGACAACCTGAGTCTACCAGCGAGGGCATCAGCCATCCTGGATGGTTCAGTCCCCTTCGCTGGGTTCTGCAACAAGCAGGACAGCATGCAGCCCTGCCCTGAGCTGCGGCAGCAGGGTAGGCGGGGGGCGGGGGGCAGAGCTGGGGACCTGGAGGGAGGGGCTGTGGGGTGGGATCTGTGAGGCCTGGAAGGTCCGTGGTCTGCAGCTGGCTGTGGCTGCAGCCCCCTCTAGCTGGGGAGGGATCCTCCTTCCCCCACAGCTCACACCCACTGCCCCGTCCCTCTGGGCAAGACCCTCCAGCCTCCTGAGGCTCCCTTCCCACTTCGGAATCTGGGCCCCTGCCCCTGCAGGAGGCTCTAACCTGCCCCAGGGACTCTGCTGTTGCTGGGCTCACTTTCCATCCCCCTGGCCCTGAAAATCCCGGATCTCCCCAGGCCCTACCTGGACCCCAGGCCTGGCTGCCCTGCCATATCCTCCCTTAGGGCCCAGGCCCTGGCCCAGGCGTCAGCCACTACCCCCTTCTGCCCCAGAAGCTGCTCTGCCAGGAGCGTCACACCCTCTGTCAGCCCCTGCTGGACAAGGTGGGGACTCATGGGGCCTGGGCCAGGGACCCTGCTGCTGTGAGCACACACCACCGAGGTCTGAAGCCTGAGGAGCTGCTCACAAAATGTGGGCCAACAGAGCAAGCAGCAGAAACCACGTCTCTGCCAGGAGGGCCCGGGAGGGGGCGGGGCAGGAAGGCTGCTGACCTCACCAGCACCCCCCCACACACACCGCCTCCTGATTTCCAGTCTCCACGGCTGCCACCAGGCCCTAGGTCTCTGGGAAGCAGCCTCCATGCAGAGCCTGCTCCTCTGAGCTGCCCTGAGACACCAGGGCCATCTCCTCCACAGGACCCCTCCAGGGGACACTGCACTGACTGCTGAAAGCCAGCAGGTCAAGGCCTCGGTGGCCCCACCCTGCAAGGAGGCTCCTCCTTTCTAGGAGGCCCTCCTCGCTGCTCCCGGTGTAGACGAACAGCACTGCTGTAGCGAAGCCCCCGGGTCCAAAAGCCACCGGGACTGGGTGCTCACCCTGACTGGGGGGACCCTGTGCTCACAGGGACCTGCCTGCCCTCTTAGGTCTTTAAGATGAGCAGGAGCAAGGTCCACACCTTTACCTGGAATCTAGGTAGGGGCCAGTGGCCTCCTCTCTGTTCCAGGACTCAGACCCACCAGAGCTGCACAGAGAGCTCTGGGCTCTTCACAGAAGGGATTCTGCTCTGGGTGGCCTGAGCCCCAGCATCCAGAGCCCAGAGCGGGAGAGGCCAGCACCTGTACTTTTTCTTTCCAAGAAGGCCCATAGCTGGGCATTTCTGGCAGGCCCCAGGGCACAGGGCAGGGCCAACTGCACAGGCCCCGCTCTAACTGCAGGGGCTGGTTCCACTCTGGATCTCTCTGCTTTCACTCTCCGGAGCCACTTTCTGTTTTGTGTTTTGTTGTTGTGAGTACTGGGGTGCAACCGAGGGCCTCACAAGCTAGGCAAGCACACCACCACCGAGCTACATCTCCAATCCTTTTATTCATTTATTTGCTGCTGGGGATGGAACCTAGGGCCACGTTCCTGGCTCTTCTTTTATTCTGAGACACTGGCTCACTAAGTTGCTGAGGCTGTCCTCCAAATTTGAGGTCCTCCTCCTGCGCGCCTCCCAAGTCATCGGGATGACTGGTGCTCATCACCCTGCCTGCCTTGGAGTCCCTTTCATTTTCAAATCCAGGCATCCTGGAGGGAATAGAGGATGAGACTCTGGTCTCTACCTCAGAGCAAGACTTCTGTCTGAGCCTCTTTGAAGGGTTGCCATTATCAGCAAGCCTCCTTGGACTGCTCCGCTTCTCAGCCCCCAGGTGAGACTTGTCACTGGGAAAGTTGGTGGTGATGCCCAGGAGTGCTGGATGGGCCTGGAGCAGGGGGCTCAGGGAGGTGACTGCCCACAGGTTGGAGATGTGACCCCAGTTGTGACGTCGGCAGGTCCAGGACACCTGATCAGAAGTCCCTTTGAGACTTGCAGCCACCAGCTGTCAGGGGCTGCGGAAGCAGGAAGGCCCAGGGTGTGGGTTATGCCTCTCTGCTCTTAAGCTGTGTCAGCTCCCTGCGGTGGGAGAGGCAAAGGGGATCCCCTGGAGGTTTTAAGCCACGGGGGGGGGGG